GGTGCGACACATCTCTTTCCACCATTCCACGTAATTGGTTTATATTGGAATGCCAACCGGGCAAACCTGAGATCGCTCTATTGCATGTAGAGAGCATATATGTAACACACAGGTTCCACAGTTGTAAAGATTAATGTACCCTTTTCACGCGAACACGCTTCGTAATGCCGGGTTTGATCCCAACTGCGGACAATTTGTCCACGACCGGCTCCAGCTGACGGACCGTGCTGCTGACGTCACCGGGTCGGGCTAACCATGCGTTAACGCAGCATTTCTCAAACTGGGTGCTGAGGCAGCCTGGGGTGTCCTGAGCGTATGCCAGGGTTGCCGCGTAATAAAGAAAAGTCGGCTAAAAATGTGAAATAATGAAGAAGGCATGTAGATACTTAAAGATAAAATTTAAGTTGTCTTTCCTTGCCACTGTCGAAAATAGTTTATATCTTGTTTTAGAACCGCTGCGTTACCGCATCGTTAGCCTGACGCGGTGACGTCAGCAGCACGGCCCGTCTGCTGGAGCCGGTCATGGTATAGCACTCAATGTCTTTCATCATGTAGTCTATGGTAGATAGAAATAAGTAAAAAGTAAAGATCCCTTTCATGCCTTTATGTGCATTGGGAATATGGGAAGAGCACCCATATTTTCACAGACCAATCGGCACTAGGTGGGTAATGTGGTCAGCATTACGCCGGCCGTCTTTACTTCCCCAGGACATACATCCTAATACCCATTTAAGGCTGGGCCAACCTGCGATGCCCCATACTATGTTAAAAATCCACACAGCCAGTTGAGGGTTTCGATCAGGTTACGTTGAAATTACGAGTCAGACTCTCAACGCCTAAGCCACCGACGCCAGATAGGAAATAATAGACATGACAAAAAAGGTGCTCTCTCCCTAATGTTTGAAAAGGGTTGGTTGGTTTTATCCATGAAGAACTGGACACTTCATGCCATTATGTTGCCTTCATATTTTGTTATGGTGCTTTGTGGGATCCCAAGTCTAAAGGTTTTCCTCCTCAGTTAGGTGGTCTTTGCTCATTTAAATCACGTAAACATGTCTTACACTATTGGAACTAGCCTATCCGTTATTTTCTAAGCAGCAGAGATGTTTGGTGTTTACAAGTCAGGTTTTGATGTTCAAATTTCAGAATGTGAAATTTTTCTGTTGATCTACAGCATTCTAATGACTTTTCTCTAACATTTAACGAGTTAAGAACTATTTATCCTTTACAGGACATCGCAAAATAACCCCAGCATTTGTTGTCTGTCTGTGGTTTTATGAAGTAAGTTGTTAGTGAAATTACAATTAGTAGTTTGTCTTTGCCTCTGAATGAAATCAACGCAAAATCTGCTGCCAAATTACCTGCAGATGAATTGAACTAGATTTATGAAATTACCAACCATGTTCGTAACAACCTAAACCACGGACACTGACAGATTATCCGCCTGAATCCATGTCTAGAGGGCAAGGAGTCTACAATTCATCTCAAGTGTTTTCTCCCTCTATCACATCTAATTCCCCATGTGGGATCCAAGGGCCCCCCTCTGCCCCGGCCCCCCAACAAGCATGTTGAAGGAGGTGACTAATTAGGGATGTTTCCTTCAAAGTCAATGCATCATCCTCAGAGTTAAGGAACCAACAGTCTGCATACAAATAATCTAGATCAGAAATTGAGTTTTCAGCTGGTGAAGACTAAGGAGTGAGACCTAATAATCCTTGCTCACTTCAGACAGCAGGCAAGGTATTTCTTGGTGTAGCCATTAGTTTCCATAATTATTTCATGAGACAACAGGATATGGGATTTGTCCTTTTGGACTATATCCAAGACATGATTCTTATTGATACTAAGCCTTAAGGATTATGAATGCAATTTCATAATTTTGATACACTGGGGTCTGAAGTCAGCAGCTGGTGACTGGTAGCAAAAAGAAATAGCAAACCAATAAACAGTGTTGAATTTTGAATTATTAATCAACATCATGACACTCAGGACACACACATAAGTGCTCCGACCCATCTTCTCAGTAAGTGAAAAGTTCCAGTTCCAATGGTACCGGTAACTAATCAACATAAAATTGCAAAGTAAGATCACAGACAGTCAACAAATGCTCAAATGTGACATTCTGTAAAAAGGATATATCAACAGCCAACAAATGCCAGGGTTGGTATTGTGAGATCCTGTTTAAAAAAAAAAAAACCAGATATATCACAAACAATGCTGGTTTGTGGCATCCTTTAAAAAGGATAAATACAAACTGTTGGTTTTGTGGCAGTAAAAAGGATGTGCCAATTTTTAAACTAGCAGCAAATTCTTACATCGACAGATTACAATCAGTGGTTTCTGATTGTACCACTTCAGAAGGTTTGATTTTATGGCAGAAAAATGTTCAGACATGAGTCTTGATCTTCTGTGTGTTTCAGAATCTGTTAAACTAGCTAGTATAAAATGTGCAGACTACTGCGATTTTCCCCAAGCACACAGCTCTTCCACACCTGCAATCAAAATGACCAACCTACCATCAGAAGTAAAGACAGAATATTTTTGGTCACCCAGTAGTGATTCAAATGCAAGCGATTTTAGAAATTAACAACAACCAAAAAAAAACCATTGTTTTGTGGACAACTGCAAATGTATTAAGTGCTGCAAACATGTAAGCATGTCAATGTTAGGAGTATAAACAAATTTGTAATTTATGTCCCATAAACATTTACAAAATCTATGTTCTGTAACAACAAAAATAATCATTTCAATCTAATACATGGCAAGGTCAACAAAAGCAATTATTACAATCTGTTTCAGAAAAAAATAGTGAAATGAAGCAATGTTTACAGTAAATACAAATAAACGTAGTATTAAACCTTATCCCATTCTATATTTTTGTTCTGCTCTTTATTATCCACACCAAATCATCCTTTCTCAATGTAGTTCACTTCCCCTTTTCCCTTATTCTAACAAACCTCCTGTAATTGGTAGCCAGAATGTAATGTAGCAGCAGAAGGCTAATCCCAGGTTTCTGTACATTTAAAAAGATCAGGGTATGAATTCATACATCTAAGGAGAGTGCAGACTAGACTGAACTAGCCAAACAGCCAGGCATACTTTTCAACCAAATAGGTAGTTTATTAGTGTACTGTACTGTGTTGATTACTGTTTTATTATTTATTGTTGTATTATTAGGTAGTATATTATTGGCAAGGTCACTGGTAGTGAGCATACTTTGTATCTTTTTTCCAGGCCATGCCGGCATAGTGGGTAAGGAACAGGCAGACAGATTGGCGGGATCTGCACCACTGGGTGGGGAATTGATACTTGACAAGGCAGATGTCAAGGTCCTTTGGAAACAAGCAATGGAATCAGTAGAGAAAATAGATTATTATGGCCTGGAGGGAATGAGGCACCTGGGTGTAACCAGAGGGTCTGGCCGGCTAACTACATGCAGAGGAAAGGCAAGACGGACATATAACCAGATTGTGACTGGTACCACCTGTATTGGAACTCTACACTGGCTGCTGAAGATGAGGACGGAGTATACATGGGAATGCTCTGAGTGCTGTGATGCAATTCTTGGCTCATCTCAACAGATAGTTTATTCAATCAGCCGATTTCTGTATACATTTGGCCTGCACATGTGCCATTTTAAAAACAAGTGGTGACAAAAAGTAGAAACTAAAATCAAGAAAAATATGATTTTGGTTGTAATTTACTCATAGATTTAACGACAGATACTAAGACCACTAACACATACTATTAGCTCACTAAAAATAAATTAGGAACCTGAAGATACCTAGATGGTGATAAATGCAAGTCAATTAGGTAAAGCTCATAATTTACGGACACAGTAGGTACATATGAAAAATGCAGGCAAAATGCAAAAGAAGAAAGTAAAAAAGAAACGAGAAAAATCAAACGTTCTGTAAACAGTACTTCTACCATGGATAACGAATGTTATTTTAAACACCACTACATATTTCACAAAGGGATGACTGGCTTGCAGCTGGTTTCATCCATGAAAAGCACAGTGAATATTTCATTCATGAAGGAAGGGTGATATTTGCAGAATTGGGTCAAGTCTGGATTGGTGTTTACATCCACAATTTTGGGCTGAATGGTCTTTATTCCTGCAATAATGAAAATAAATGTTAAGAGAGGGAAACTATAAAAGTCTAAGGACCTTTTTTTTTCTATTCACTAAAAAGAGTAAACAAGGCTCCTGTACTTATCACAAAGTGTCTATGACAGTAGCCAAAAATCTTACAATATAAAGATGTGTGCAAGTGGGACATGACTGATACACGTGCCGAGGTGGCCTCTTGTGCACAAAATGTCATTGACCAAGTGTGGAGGGGGCTCCTCAGGAGTGACAGAATGATGGAAGAAATGTTTGCAGAAAGGAAAGCCGAGCATCTGAGAAGAAACGGTAAACACAACTGTTGACAACAGAGGTCCTGAAATCTGATGCTATAATTGTTAAGACTTTTCTTAATGCGGGCGGTCTAGTCCCACTCACCATCGCCATGCGCAGTGGGTCATATGTCTCCTCATAACGCAATACAACACTATCATCTGGAAAGACGGAAAAGTGCCAATCTATCACAAAGTGTCTATTACAGCAGTACTGAATAAATGAGGCATGAAGAAAGCTGCCGGCAATGCATACTACGAAAAATTTAAAAAAGGCCAAAAAAAAAAAAAACATGCCCTGAGTAGTTATCTGCACTGGTAAAAGATAAGGCATTGTAGTGGCATGACACGAGCCTGTTAGCCTGAATTCCTTGGGTTAGAATTCACAAAGAATCAGATTTTGATAGCTGATCAAAGGCTTCCAGGTCAATACCCAGCCTAAAATAGATGTGAAGGAAATATCACTTAAAGTCAAGGTGGCTTGCATTATTGTGACCCTGTCACCAATGATGTGTTGATTGATCTATAAAACTATGGGTCTTGCACCATCTGCTTTGCCAACAGTAGGGGTTTTGTTTGTTGTGAAACAAGAGACATGTGGACAGTAAAAAAATGAAAATTTTGCCATGGACACACCACGTTGAAGCTTCCCACATCCAGGTAATGCCACAATCTTGAAGAATAGGTATACAATGATGCTAAAGATTTCCTCTCTTTTTCTACTTCTTCACGTTCACCGGCTGTAAACTCAGGTGGAAGGTTCTGGTTATTCATCCACTTCTGGACGCTAGTCCTATTCCTATTGTGCGCACACTCATCTAACAGCTCTGACTCATTTGCATACAGATTGTTGGTTCCTTGCCTCTCTGGCAGATGTACTCTGGACTTCAAAGAAAGCTCCCAACTAGTTTACTCTTACGACATGCTTTTGGGTAGGCAGTGGGTCTATTCTTGCTTTCCCTGAAACCATATGGGGAAAATTCACATTTAATGTGAATCCTCTGTAAGGCAGTTTTAGCCAAATTTTTATTAGCTAGCTTTCATAATCGTGGAAAATAAAAGTCTGCATTATTCATCCATGAGCTTTATGTAGTCATCTTTTCCTAAACCTGGTGCTAAACTACTACTACTTCTTTATGTCCTTTTTTACCACTTCGAGGGTTGGAGGAAACAAAGTTCTGCTCCATGCTCTTCTGGCGGCTGCTTCAACCATAGACACATTGTGGTACTGTAGAGTTTCTCTGATGTTATCTTCCTATGTTGTTCTTGGTCTACCTCTTGCTCTACGTCCCTCTCCTCTTATAGTATAGCTTTGTTTGGTATAGATAGCGTCAGAAGGCATTCTCTCCCAGTGGGCAAACCATTTGATTTGCTGTCTTTGTATGTAATTCTTTTCCTTGGTTACTAATTTTCTTTTATGTTTTGGTGTGAGTGACCACATCTGGCACTGATAGCATAGGGTGGAGATGAATGTGCTTTGTATCAGATGTTTCTTTTGTGTGGTGCTGATTGGGATTCACTTATGCTGTTAAAAGAGGAGCTAACCTTCCAAATACTTTCCCTGCTTCACTGCATTGGATATCTAACTACCATCAGCATACATACTGATGCAGAGCATTACCTTCCTCTCAGGGCCCAGAAACTAGGCTGTACAAGACCAGTACTGGAACTTTACATACGTGGCGAGGTATTTTAGTATCTAATCATGTCATGTTTCAGCATAAGTCATACAGACTGACTGCTGTTATGCTTGGGCTGGTAATGTTTCCCTCCTCCCACCAGCTTCTGTTTTATTGTCAAAAGATAGCTTTTTGATCATGTGGTACTAACATGTATTCTAACAGTCCCCATGTGGGTTAAAGGGCGCCATCAGGATAAGGAAGGATAGAACAGCTGCCCCCTTAAAAGCATGTTGTAAAAGTTGACTAATAAGAGGTGTTTTCCTTACAAGTCGGAGTGCATTTGCCTGAACCAATACTCTGCATTTAAATAAGCCAGATGTAAAACAGATGTGCACACAACTAGTTCTGGAAGCAAATCGAAGTCCAAAAGTGGATGAACTTTCTGCCGGAGTTTAAAGCCAGTGAACAAGAAATATACTAACAAATGCAAATGTCCAAGAGTTAAACACTATTAAAGGCAAACATGATAAAAAACAAGTAAAAATAATCACCAGAAAGCTTTTGGTCCCAGGCCAGCAATACATCAAACGCATACATTGCTCGAGACTGAGGAGAAGGGCAGATGCCTCTTGGTGGTGGCATAGAAGTAGCTGCCTCAAACAGTTTTTTCAGGCACTTAAAGATGTCATTCTGTGTTAGAAAGAGATGTCACATGTTAAAAAGCTTAATCTTATACAGTCACAATTATCACTGCATGCCGCGTAAGTTCATAGGTACTAGTATATTTCCATGTGTTTGCTGATCACATCCTTCTGGCGCCAAGTTAACCAGTTTCTCACATTTCCTTGTTTCACACAAAGGTATCTTATCCTGTGCAAAGTCACCATTTCACGGAAATCAGTTTCACAATATTGTTTCTTCTTCTGCCCTTCATCAACAAATGGAGCAGATGTCCTCAACCAACTCAGGCCAAACTATTGTCACATGAAACTCACCCCATGTCCTCCCCCTCTTTTCAACTTCCCTTTCAAGCTCCCCAGCCAATGTGTTTCTTGGTCTGCCTTTAATTCTGGGCGTACCAGTGTAAAGAAACTAGTTATATTTTCAGTTTTCCAAACCAAAGAAGGATTTAATATATTAATTCTATTATGGACCCGAATGAAAGCCACCAACCAGCTTAAGTGTTTCAGTTTAAGTGTTTACATTGCCTGGCTCTCTAGTGTAGTTGGCTAAACCGGATTGCACGGTGACAGAGTGACGAACTCCTTGTGGTCTAGGTTAACTCCCGGGGGGTAGGCAGAAAAGCCACATTTCTCCCAGATTTATGGTATTTACAATGGAATCAAGACCAAAAGGTTGCGATATCTATAATACCGAGCCTAAGGGTTAACAACTCATGGCTTCTGGATACTAAAACAAACAAGTGTTTCCATTCTGTTTGTTTTATATTTTTTTTCATTGTGCTATGGGACAAAAAGCCAACATGGTCCTAATCAGTGACTTACAGTGAGTGAATCAGGAGGTGAGAAAAAGATGCTGGCTTTGGACAGTATACATGAGAAAACCAGCTGCAAATGTAACTAGAAAGTCTAGTACCCAAAGGACAAAAAGAGGGAGACCTAACAATACACAGAATAGAAGTAGAGACCAATGATTTATTTAGGAAGAAAAGATATTGGTGTTGGATAGGACACACATTCAGAAAAGCTAAGAATTATATAATTAGAAGAGTTTTACACTGAAACCCGTAGGGACAAAAATAAAGGCAAACTAAAAAAACAAACAATGCAGAAGGTAGCTAGAAAGAAGTTAAGATGAGGGCTTAGGATAAGCTGCATGCTACAGCAAAGGATAGGATCACCTGGTTGAGGGCTCATGTTCTGATGGGGCAATAAAGGGCAACAGAACAGTTCTAACAGCGAATTTCTGGTTTAACTTACAGACTTTCACGTAAACTAGGTAACTGTTTTGTTTTTGACTTATCTACAAAAATGCTTAAAAATGATCTATGACAAAAATGCTATTACCATGAGTATCTGCATGTTGAGCTTGTACTATTGTAATAACACATTTATAGCATCTGCAACCACAATTCTTCCTCTGCTCTCTGCCTCCTTGTTGAGCACAAGTCCTCACCAATGTGTGCCAAATTGTCATATCCATTGTCGCTGCTCACCTGAAGTCCTCCCCATCATTTTTCACTGCATTCTGATTCCCTTTGTGTATTCTTTGGTCTGCTCTTATTTTGTTGATCTTGTAGGTTTAAGTGCAAGGACATTTTCAGTTATCAGACTAACTCAATGCATGTCGTATCCAATGACAGCATCTTTTATTCATATCTTTTCCCCCCCCCCGGAATTTGGTTCTCTCCCAAAGCCCTACATAAGTAATTCTATCATAACATTTAATTCCCCAATTTCTTCACAGTCAATGAATGTTTGTAGTTTAAGATTTCAGACTCAAAAAGCTGTAAGAGCCATCTTAACAGCATTATAGGCCCCTGCTCAAATCTGTGTGCAGGAACTCCAACAACCACCCACCCACAGAAATGAAAAGTAAATAGTTGACAAAATTGAACATTTATATAACTGGCACTTCAGCAAAGCTGGTTTAAAATATAAGCACAGATTTGGTGGCACAGTAGGGAAAAAAAACTACATCTTAAATTATAAGTCACTTGACATACAGATCAGCTTAGGGCCCTATCTTCACGAGTTCCCCAAGCAAGCACCCAGAAAGCTCATGTGTTAAGATGGCTCTGGCTGTACTGATTCAACATTTAGAGTGACATTTTTAAATTTGCATACCAAAATATTAATCCATTTATGGTCTGGGTTCTGCGTTTCAAACTGGGATATAAAGGTCTCACAGCTGAGATGATATGTGTTCTCTTTGCTATGCTCGTTGACGGTAAAATGTACTTCAGGCTCATCCAAGGAGTCAAGAGAAAAAGGTCTGAAAAGAGGCAAATAGTTTTACTTAATTTTTTACACTTGAAAAAAAATTAGATGTTGAAGTTTAAATTATGCTTCAGAGTTATAAATATGCCAATTATTTATAGTGCAGATGTAAAACAATAGTAACAGTATTGTTAGAAATCCTGCTCTTTTATTTTCTCTAACTTTGTCCCCCAGTGGGATGCAATTTTTTGTTATTTTGAAGCCCACCCTGGCTTTTACCGGGGGGCCCTAAATATAGCTGGGCCCTAAATATGGCCTAACGGTTCTAACGGTTAAACGGGGCTTGCGGGATCTCTCCACAGGTGATTCTCATCTACATGGTGGCACTTTGTGTTACCGGGTGTTTATTGCTTGTGTGATGTCCTGATTGGATACAACTTACATACATACATATCCTACTCATTTGTAATTGGAATTTATAATCTTATTTATAAACTAATTCTTTGTCTACACATTAAAAAAAAAAAAGCTATATACCATACACATGTTAAAAATAACAAAATACAAATAAAAAATAAACATTAAACAACTACCCTTGAATGTGTTGGGACAGATGTGCTCTGATGATATGGACAACAACTGAGTAACTAAACTGAATACATTGAGGATCTATACTTCTGTATTGGGTCTTCTCCTATATGGCTCACACATTCTTGAAGCATTGGCTTGTAATAAAAATATGAACTTCACTACTCCAGTGACGTCCCTTATGCATTTTCAAAGCACTTGGACTGTGCTAACGCAACATCAGATTTCAAAACTAAACCCACAACCTTGAGAACATGGGGCAGTGCTTAACCACTTTGCCTTGGACCCCAGAAATAGGAATAAGTAAAATTGATTTAAAAAAACGATTCCATACCTTTTTTTAAAAAAGGCATATTGCATCTGGGTTAATCTTGAGTAAAGATTTGATATCACTGTCGCGTGCGAATGTGCACTAGAACGCACCGGTACTAAGTGAGCAAATAAGACGTCAAAACAATACGTAACGTTGTGTAGGTATTGTTGTCAAAGGCAGTTGATGTTTACAGTCCGAAGGAGATGGACGTATGGATCCTTGAGGACGCTTTACCCCGGGATCCCACGGAAGCAAACGTGGTATAAAGTTAGATCCTTGAGGACGTTTTACCCCGGGATTCCAATATAGACCTCAGCAGGAAGCTGGTAAATTGTCACAGTTCGGCAGTAAGCCGGTATACCTTCATTACTTAATTCAGATTACTGTCTGGATCTCAAGGTCGGACAGCGACCTATCGTGAAGACATATCAGTCCATGGATGTACGAGCGGGCTTTTGTTGATATGCTTGAATGAGTCTTGATTAGAATTGCACATTTTCTCCTTGTGTTGATCATCGTTATTGTCAATACACAAATGGAACCTTTAAAAAGAGTTCTCGTTCCACTACGTTTGGGAGCTTCAACATTCATCATGTTGTGTTACTCTTGGCCAGTGGCATGTTAAGTGTTGATGCCATTTGTTACATTGCGACGCCCCTAGTCACTTTAGTTTGCCGCTTATCACCACGCAGCCTTTACAGCACGTCACACTGTAGGTCAAGTTTTACACTCGTCACAAGCATCCGCACGTCACAATCACATAGTTCAGAACAACCATATTAGCTCTATGTCCCTCCTCAAACAACCAGCAAAGAGTTTCCATACTGATTGTACCTATTATCTGGTTCACTACTTGTCTTGTACTAACTGTACATATTTGTTTAACTACTTGTGATCATCATTAGGCGGGCCGCCTTTACTTCCTAGGGCATGACTGATCCATAAGACAGAGCAAATCTTAAGCGATGATACCAAAAAAAAAAAAAAAAAATGACCTCAGTGGAAATGTCAAGAATTATTTTAATTGTATATTGTGCATCTCTTTTCTTTTCCCTCTGTTGGATCTTTTTAGTCACAGTTTGTTTTAGCCTTTAGTTAGTAGGGGAATATCATTATCTGGGAGTCTCAGAGTCAAATGATCATCTTGCTTATGATATATAAAAACATCATGCAAAAAATCAAACACAAATCACCAGAACCATTGCTTTTCAAAGGAAGAAGAACAAGAAAAAAATGGAACAAAAAAGGAACAAGAACAGTGACAAGAACAAAGACAACAAAAGAATAAAGGAATAATTTACAACAACAAAAATGAACAAAAACAAGAATAACAAGAATTAAAAAAAAAAAAAACCAAGAGTAACAACAAGGAATAGGAGGAGAAAAAACAGAAGGAGAAGATGATAAAGAAGCAGCAGCTTTAAGAGAGAAAAAAAAGGCAGTAAGTGAATGAAAAATATTACTTACTTGTTACAAAATCTCACAGAAAACATCTCATGCACATAAAACTGTACGGGCTTAACACTGGTCAAGAGAACAAAGAACCGGAGGTCAAACTTGACAGGACACCAGATGTCCGAGCGGAGAAACAGAACAGGGTTATCCACATACTTGCAAACAACCTGGAAAATGCAGAATTATAGAAATAAGTTTAATAAACTTATAAATGTAGATAAATGAGATTGAAAAAAAAAAGGGGGGGGGGGGGAGAGACCCAATGCCTTAGAGTTTTAATCCATGTACCAGAAAACTGTCCACTGTTACTCTGAAAAATTCTTCTTTGAAAGAAGATTAAATAAAAAGACAAAAACAAAGGTAATGGGAAAGTTAGAATGTGGCTTAGAAGTATGCAGTCTCAAGTAGACTGTGCAATAATTACGCTATGAACTCTTACAGAAGCAAACCCAAGATTTAATTTCACTATTTGTTAACAGTCGATGATGACACTGCAGATTGGCTATTCCTATGTGTGCTCAGCCCTTTGATGCAGCACCTACTCCAGGGTACCCCTACTTCTTGTTCCCATTAAGAGTTGGTTAGTAGTAGTAGATTTTTACCCCACTAGGACATCACACAAGCGATAAACACCCGATGACACAAAGTGCCACCGTGTGGATGAGGATCACCGTGGAATGGTTCCAGAAACCACGTTCAGCCATTAGACCATATTTATGGTCGGGCTATATTGCGGCCTCTGGCAAGAGCCAGAGTAGGGCTTCAAATAACGAAAAATTACATCTCACAAGGCGATGACCAGGGTAATAATAGGCAAAGAGTTGGTTATTATCTCAAATCATATTGGTGTAGACATGCTTCACCATTTTTAACTCCCAAGTGATGCATCAGTATCAGATTCATCATTATCCACTAGCCTTGTCTGTACAGTGTTGATTATTATTTTCTTTGAAACAGATTATATCTGCAATGTTGTCTAGTATGAACTTCACTGTCATTTGTAATTCACTCAGTGTTTTGGCTAGCATATGTGTTTCTCTTGTTTTCCCTTGATATGTTGTATTTGGGACAGTTCTCTTGTTTTTCCTTGATATGTTTAATTTGGGACAGTATTGGAGGATGTGGTCTGTTGTCTCAGGCACACATGGCTAATTCACCAATCTTAAATTGTGAACATTCCCCGTGTGGGTCCGGGGTTCTATTATAATGAAAACAAGACCTACTGTCTATCTAAAAGTATGTCATAAGAGTTGACTTATTTGGAGCTTTCTTCAAAGTCGAGTGCATCTGCCTGAGAGGTAAGGAACCAACAGTCTGCATACAAATTAGATCTGTCAAATGGATGCAAACACAACACTCAGGTTATGGAACAGGACTGCAGTCCAGAAGCGGACGAACAAACAGAACTTTCCACCAGAGTTTACAGCCGGTGAATGCAAAGAAGAAGAATTGTGTACATGTGGCTGAGGATGTCTGTGTCCTGTTCTAAGAGTTGATTCTCTGCTCTGTCCATGCTTTGTAGCATGTTTATAGCCTACAGCCATATGTTCATAGCCTGATAGAGTGTAACATAGGATAGACTACATCTTGACTTCAAAAGTGCCTTCGTCTTAGTGGTAAATATATATTTTGATTATTTGGGCTTTCAGCGAGGAGACAAAACACCACAACTCCACACCAAAATCACACCACTGCATTATAGCAGCCAAGTAAATATAGGAAACTAAAAGACTGTTCCCCATTAAAAGGGACATAAATAAATCAGTTCAAATTATTTAAATTGACTTTACAGCTTCATCACAACAATGAATCTGGGGTACAATTAATTACATCCCTGTGTGTGTTCCAGGGGGGAAAACAGGAGTAGACGCATTGCCTCCATAACAAGCATGTCACAAGAGTTGACTAGTTGAGGGCTTCTTTCTATGACAGAGTGCATCTGTCTGAGAGGCAAGGAACCAACAGTCTGCATAAAAAAAGTTCAGATCTGTTAAACATATGTAAAACAGCCCTCCTAACCGCATGCTGTAAGAAGATGACTAATTAGGGGTTTGCTGAAAATGGATGTCGCAAAAAGTGCAGCCTAGCTGTAAACCACAACACAATGTGACCAGAAGTTATAGTGCCTACATCATCACAATCATTTACTGGAATTCGGTCAAAATTTACAAGGTAGTCAAGAAAATTACAGAGGTTATGAGAATTTTTTTTAAATTGGATAGAATATGAACTCTAACAAATGCCAACGTTCATCTACAATAGACCCAGTGTGTGGGGAAAAATGAACAGTCCAACTGCCCCCTACATGTCATAAAAGTCTAATGAGGAATGTTGTCTTTGGGGAGAATTCATGTCTAGATGTGACTTTTACATTATTTTACTAGAGGTGAAAATGTGACAGTTACATCATTTTACTGGCGTTGAGAATTCATGTCAAGATGGGACAGTAACATAATTTTAATGGAGTTGAGAACTCATGTTCAGATGCAACATTTCATTTACACAATTTTTACTGGTGTTGAGAATTCATGTCCAGGTGTAACATTTACACCATTTTACTGGTGTTGAGAATTCTTGTCCAGATGTAACATTTACACCATTTTACTGGTGCTGAGAATTCATTTACAGATGTAACATTTACACCATTTTACTGGTGTTGAGAATTCATGTCCAGATGTAACATTTACACCATTTTACTGGTGTTGAGAATTCATGTCCAGATGTAACATTTACACCATTTTACTGGAGTTGAGAATTCATGTCCAGATGTAATATTTACACCATTTTACTGGTGCTGAGAATTCTTGTCCAGATGTAACATTTACACCATTTTACTGGTGCTGAGAATTCTTGTCCAGATGTAACATTTACACCATTTTACTGGTGCTGAGAATTCATATACAGATGTGACATTTATTTCATTTTACTGGTGCTGAGAATTCTTGTCCAGATGTAACATTTACACCATTTTACTGGTGCTGAGAATTCATTTACAGATGTGACATTTATTTCATTTTACTGGTGTTGTAAACTCATAATTTTTGCTGGCGTGAGAACTCATGTCCAGATGTGACATTTACACCATTTTACTGGTGTTGAGAACTCATGTCCAGATGGGACACACACATGCCTTTGACTGGGCCTGGGAACTCTCATCCAATCATGACAGCTATAGTTCAAATGATTGACATGCTAGTAAAAAAAAGATTTTACATCTCGTAACTACCATTGTTTTAAATTTTTATTTTCACATACAGTAATGTTGGAAAATGTAAACACCATTCTCACCTTAGGTCCTGTCTCAAGCACCCTGATTATCCTGTCTATGTTCCCAGTGATATGAGTATCAAGATCACGAGCCAAATAGAGTGGCTTACAAATCCAATGGTTATCCAACATCCTTGTGAGAAAGTAATGCATTGCCATATAGAGAATTAAACAGAAAATGACAATCCACACAAACAAAATTATCTTGACAAAAAGTGCCAGAACTGATATTTGCAGATTCTCCATGTGGGTTCCAGGGCCCCATTGTAGAGAAAATAAGAACAGACCCCCCTGTCTCTCCAACAAGCATGTTGTGTGGTTTGACTAATTGGGGACTTCCTTCAAAGTCGAGTGCATCTGCATGAGAAGCAAGGAACCAAAAGCCAGCATACAAATAAGCCAGATCTGTAAAACAAATGTGCACACAAGACTCAAGTTTTGGAGCAAGCTTAAAAGTCAAGAAGTGCACAAACAACTAGAACTTTCTACCAGAGTTGACATCAGGCTTCAGAGCCACTAGCTCGATTTGTCTTTGTTTTGTATATTGTGATTTTGCTGTTACAAGGTAGACCATTTGATGTTAACAGATGTAGGGCATTGAATACCTTATTTCTAGATTTTATTCTATTTTTTTTCTTCTCATTCTGTTAAAAATAACTGAATGTTGTACCTAAGTACGTACATTTCAATTCTGATTTTCAAATCTTTTTGTATAAGGTCAGTTTTTCTCCTTTCCCTTTCTTATTAACTATACTTTCTGCCTTTTCTTGATCGATATCTAGTCAAATTTTTTAGTTGCTTCTTTTAGGTGCCTCAGTGTTTTGATTGTTGTCAGGATAGCTAAGGCAACAACAATGAGCAGATTAACAAAAAGAGTTTAAGAGAAAAGAAGGCTCACGATTAAAACAAAAACTCTTGTCTATCAGGCTTGTGTTTTCAGCACTCTGCTATATGGCAGTGAAACTTGGTCAACTTATTTGCACTAGGAGAGATGGCTTAATACTTTCACATGCAATGCCTAAGAAGAATACTTGGCATTAAGTGGCCGGACAAGATCACAAACACTGAGGTACTGGAAAGAGCAGGTGCTACAACAGTCTTTTCCATGCTCAGTCTACAAAGGCTCAGGTGGCTGGGTCACATCTGGAGAATGGCAAAGTCCCTAAGGACATCCTTTATGGTGAACTAAAGATAGGTAGAAGATGTTGAGGCAGACCTCTATTACGATATAAAGATGTGTGCAAGCAGAACATGAGTGATACAGGTATTGAGGTGGACAAAATGCCATGGACGTGTTGTGTGGAGGGGGCACATCAGGAAAAGCAAGAATGAAGAAAGAAATGATTGCAGAAAAGATGAGAGCTGAGCGTTTGAAAAGAAACAGACTAAATACAAATGTTAACAATGGTCCTAAAATCCTATGTTTTAATTGTTAAAAGACTTCTTAACATGAGTGGATCTTGCTAGTCACACTCACTATGGGTTGTGAGTCCCATGCCTACTCATAGCGCAGGATAACACTACCGTTTGGAAAGATGGAAAGGTGCCAATTATATGTTACTAAATTGTAAGTGCCTAAGTGAAGACTGATTTCTGGAATCACAAATTCCTGCATAGCATTCCACAAACTATTCCTGTGTACACTATTGCAGGCCTTTTTAAAATTCACAAAAACATGTCTACACGGCTCTTCTATGTTCCTAATTTTTCTCTGCTATTTGTCTTAAGATCAGTATCTGATCTATTAATGGTTCTCCTATGTCAGAAATCCACCTGGTAGTCAATATATCTTCTGCATATGGTTTTAGTCTGTTTAGCAGACCTCTGATAGTGCCTGACTACTTGTAAACAATAGTGATACTTCACTATAATTTTCACATTTTCTTCTGCGTTCAACATCAGACATGCTAAACATTGAGTCCCGTCTGGGTCACAAATAGGATTGTGCGTTTAAAGTCGCCACCGGTCCCCCATAGCTTCTCTTGCAATGTGGCTCCCTTGGGCAGTCTTTACTGGGAGAGGTTAGGGCAGTACTGCAGTGTGTGCTCAGAGGTCTGTCTTTCTGCTCCACAATCACAGGCAGCAGATTCTTTTATGTCTATCCTGTACAGGTGTGCTCGAAGACCACAGTGTCCTGTCCAAAGTCTAAAAAATTGATTGTTCTTTCCTGTTAAGTTTGTTTATGCTGTCACTCTCTGGTCTGTAATCTCCATTCTGCCTTCTCCACTCCTGCTTGAAGGACTGCTTTATCGCTGTTTTGGTTTCCTTGTAGCTGTGTGGTGGATGAGGTTGTGGAAGATTATTCCCAGCCTTTGCCAACTCATCTGCTCTCATTTCCTTGAATACCACAGTGGGCTGGTATCCACTGCAAGACCATTTCTGCTTCCTTGGAGAGTAAGCCGATGTTGGTCCTTAGATCTGCAATTAGTTTGTCTTGTTTTTTGCTTGATAGTGCTTGGAGAACAGACAATGAAGTCAGTATAACAATTTTGTGCCCTCTGTGTTCTCGAGTGATGAGATATTGGACTGCAGAAAGGAGGGCAGTTGCCTCAGCTCTGAATTAGTGCAGATGTCACCTGCTGGTAGAGAGAGTTTCTGCTCTACTGCTAGAGGGTTTAATGTATATTCCACAGTCCCCTTTCTGACAGCATCTGTAGAAGAGCAGTCTGTGAAAACCTGAGTCCAAGTGGTGTCATCAAGCATAGCAAGAGCCAGGGTTCTCTTGTCTCCGTCTGGGCATCTTTTGAAGTGATCCCTGGTACCTTTAGGACTACATTTGCCTTCTCTGGCTTGCTTTTCCATGGTTCTGGGCTAAGTTTTTCGCACAGTGCAACATCTCTTTCAAGCAGATCTTGGTGCTGCCTGTACAGTTCTCTAGCAATGTGGTTGGGGCTCCGACGCTTCAATCTGTTTTTTGTTCTCTCTTGAGATTTAAAATGCAGTGGGTGACTTTGAAGTCTTTTTAATTCCTCATACTGTAAAAGAGTTTTGTATTGTCTTCTGAGCTCAAGTGGTTCAGTATCTGCTATCCTCTCTATCTCTGATGTGGGTGGTTGTCATGGCTCCGAGAACAATCCTTAATTCCATATTCTGAACCTTGTCCAGTTTTCCCATTGTTGTCTTGGCTGCTGCAGCCCATGCAGTGGAGGCATATTCCATGACCGGCCTGACTGCTCCAGTATATACTTGTTTTAGGATTCTGGAGTTAGCTCCCCATGTGGTACCCGCTAATTTTTTCATCACTACAAGCTTCTTTAATGCTTTTACCTGTACTGCTTCTACATGTGACTTCCAAGTTAGTCGCGAATCAAGTGTAATGCCAAGAAAGTTAGGAGTTGGTTTTTTATCCAGATTTCGATTTTTTCATTTTTGGGGGAGAGAGAGAAAAGTGATGCTGTGGTTTTTGAATTATTTAGCTTTAGACCCTACTTTTCGGTCCAGGCATCTACATTTTTCACAGTTTTCTGTAACAGATATTTTCACATTTTTATTGGTCCCTATTCCTAAAGAGATATATTTATGACTTGTCACTCATCGAGTAATATCTCTGTTACACGACGTTTTATTAGTTTGTATGCTTTTAAGTGTGGTGAATTAACACCTTTTATAGTTCAGTATAGTATAGAATAGAGAATAGAATATAGAGATTATCATTGTGTACAGAAAAACGACTACAAGACAAGGCTAACTATTGTATTGCAAGACTAGACTAGCTACTGTAACACAAGACTGTAGAAAAGCTATTGTATTACAAGATAAGACTAGTTACTGTACTTCAAGACTAGACAAGCTGCTGTACTACAAGAATAGACTAGTTGCTGCAATACAAGAATAGACTAGTTACTGCAATACAAGAAAAGACTAGCTGCTGCAATACAAGAGTAGACTTGTTACTGCACCAGAACAGTAGACTTGTTACTGCACCAAAAGAATAGACTAGTTGCCTCACTAAAAGACTAAACTAGCTACTGCACTACAAGACTAGACTAGATGCTAGCCACTGTTCTATAATACTAGACAATACTACAAGAATAGACTAGCTACTGTACTACAAGACTAGACTAGCTACTTACTGTACTATAAGAATAGACTAGCTACTGGGCTACAAGACTAGACTAGTTACTGTACTACAAGAATAGACTAGCTACTGTACTACAAGAATAGACTAGCGACTGGGCTACAAGACTAGACTAGTTACTGTACTACAAGAATAGACTAGCTACTGTACTACAAGACTAGACTAGTTACTGTACTACAAGAATAGACTAGCTACTGTACTACAAGACTAGACTAGTTACTGTACTACAAGAATAGACTAGCTACTGTACTACAAGACTAGACTAGCTACTTACTGTACTATAAGAATAGACTAGCTACTGGGCTACAAGACTAGACTAGCTACTGTACTACAAGAATAGACTAGTTACTGTACTACAAGAATAGACTAGCTACTGTACTACAAGACTAGACTAGCTACTTACTGTACTATAAGAATAGACTAGCTACTGTACTACAAGACTAGACTAGTTACTGTACTAAAAGAATAGACTAGCTACTGTACTACAAGACTAGACAAGCTACTCTGTCAGTAGTATGTCTTTTGTAGAGCCCTGCACCCATAACAACCCTCCAGAAAACTTTTTGATCACAAGTAGGATGTCTTGCGTCCCATACACCCACCTGGAGATCATCTGCAACATCCTGCACCCATCTTCTCTTAGACAAGCTATTGGGACTACAAGAATAGACTAGCCACTGTACTACAAGACTAGGCAAGTTTTAAAGCTACATGATTGTAGACGAGACTACAACACAAAAAGGCTACAAACTAACTACTAAACCTCAAGACTATATATAAACCACTAAAATACAAGACTAGTAGACTAGCTACTGTACTGCAAGACCGGATGGAACTACACAGGTTCCTGGTCTGTGTAACAGTGAATGAACTAGACTGCTCCCTAGAGACATACAAAGCTACATGGAAAAAATTCAATGTAATAAAGGCAATACTCTCCGCTGAAAGTTTTTATCAGTGCCCATTAACCACCACACTATAAGAACAGTTGTATAGAATAAGTAAGCTCTTTTTAAAAACTCACCTTCTGGATCTGTTTTGAAAGAAGGAAACAAATCTTAATAACTCTGTAGATAAGTCGTATGTTGTGGGCAGCCATCTGGGATTGGACATCAAGGACAATTCTATATCATAAGGGTCAGTTATCTCAGAAGAGCGCCTAGCTGTAACAGCAAGCAGGTCCTTTGATGTCAGAACATTCTGACATGGAAACTGGTTGATCATGCATTTAGATTTAGTTTCACCGAACGCTCTGCAACAAAACATTTTGTCAGTAAAGTATTCTGAAATAGGGAAAGTCAATCACTAATTTATTAAAAACGTTCCTTAACTAGCACCTGTGCAGAATAAAAGGAATTAAAGAAAGTGACTTCCTGTCCAAAATGGAGAACTAGGCATGGCAGAATGCTTAGCTTCGAAGTTTTGTTTTGCCTCCGATAGTTTTCCGATGCAGTTTTCACATATGGACGGAAGTCTACAGTTTTGCTGCCTGAGCTACTGAGTTTAGTGCTTGGTGCAGCCCTGTGAGTTTTTTTTTTTTTTTAGTTTTCTTGTGGAATGCCTTTCCTTTGTGCAGCAGTGGTGTCCCAGGAAGCATGTTGTAAAAGGTTACCAATCAGGAGTGTTTTTTTTTTTTAGGTCAGAGTACATGTGCCTGCTAGGCAAGGAACCAACAGTCTACATACAAATAGGCCAGATCTGTAAAAGGAATGTGCAACACTCAAGTTCTGGAACAGATCAAAGTTCAGAACTGGGGGAACTACTAGAACTTTCTGCTGGAGTTTACAGCTGGTGAACACTAAGATTATGTTCCAGTAGCATAATGTCCATAAGCAAATAGTATTTTTCCTCTCATACACCATTTATTAGATCTTCCAGCTCCAAATAATGCATCTTTTCACATGTCTCATGTTATATATACTACCATACAAATGTGTATATTATAGTATTTTTGCTTTATTGTCTCATTTGAGCCAAAAAATCTAATTGTTCATTGTTTGCCACACCTATATGCCCTGGACAGTAAATCAGTGTAAATCTCAGCAATGGAGACAGACTACAACAAAAGAGTTGCTAAAATATGAGTCAAGCTATCTCAGGTAGCTGCTTAGCTCTGGGCTGCTACCTGAGAATCCCAGCAACTCAGTTGCGTAGACAAATCAAGATATGCAGTTGAACCTTCAAAGAAGTTATTACAGTAACAGTAATGGTTCGTCAAGTACCACTACTCTGATGTACAATGTCACTCAAAGCTGGTAAGATAACACTGTCACTCACAGCTGGTAAGATAACACTGTCACCCACAGCTGGTAAGATAACACTGTCACCCAAAGCTGGTAAGATAACACTGTCACCCAAAGCTGGTAAGATAACACTGTCACCCAAAGCTGGTAAGATAACACTGTCACCCAAAGCTGGTAAGATAACACTGTCACCCAAAGCTGGTAAGATAACACTGTCACCCAAAGCTGGTAAGATAACACTGTCACCCAAAGCTGGTAAGATAACACTGTCACCCAAAGCTGGTAAGATAACACTGTCACCCAAAGCTGGTAAGATAACACTGTCACCCAAAGCTGGTAAGATAACACTGTCACCAAAAGCTGGTAAGAAAACACTGTCACACAATGCTGCTAAGATAACACTCTCACCCTAAGCTGGTAAGATAACACTCTCACCCAAAGTTGCTAAGATAACACTGTCGCCAACAGCTGCTAAGATAACACTGTCACCCAAAGCTGGTAAGATAACACTGTCATACAAAGCTGGTAAGATAACACTGTCACCCAAAGCTAGTAAGATAACACTGTCACCCAAAGCTGCTAAGATAACACTGTCGCCAACAGCTGCTAAGATAACACTGTCACCCAAAGCTGGTAAGATAACACTGTCATACAAAGCTGGTAAGATAATGTCACCCGAATCTGCTAAGATAACACTGTCACACAAAGCTGGTAAGAAAACACTGTCACACAAAGCTGGTAAGATAACACCATCACCCAAAGCTGGTAAGATAACACTGTCACCAAAAGCTGGTAAGAAAACACTGTCACACAAAGCTGGTAAGATAACACCGTCACACAAAGCTGCTAAAATAACACCGTCACCCAAAGCTGCTAAGATACACTGTCACCCAAAGCTGCTAAGATAACACTGTCACCCAAAGCTGCTAAGATAACACTGTCACCCAAAGCTGCTAAGATAACACTGTCACCCAAAGCTGCTGAGATAAGTGTCACCCAAAGCTGCTGAGATAAGTGTCACTCACAGCTGCTAAGATAACAGTGTCGCCAACAGCTGCTAAGATAACACTGTCACCCAAAGCTGCTAAGATAACACTGTCACCCAAAGCTGGTAAGATAACACCATCACCCAAAGCTGCTAAGATAACACTGTCACCCCAAGCTGCTAAGATAACACTGTCACCCAAAGCTGCTGAGATAAGTGTCACCCAAAGCTGCTGAGATAAGTGTCACTCACAGCTGCTAAGATAACAGTGTCGCCAACAGCTGCTAAGATAACACTGTCACCCAAAGCTGCTAAGATAACACTGTCACCCAAAGCTGCTAAGATAACACCATCACCCAAAGCTGCTAAGATAACACTGTCACCCCAAGCTGCTAAGATAACATCACCCAAAGCTGCTAAGATAACACAGTCACCCAAAGCTGCTAAGATAACACTGTCACCCAAAGCTGCTAAGATAACACCATCACCCAAAGCTGCAAAGATAACACCATCACTCAAAGCTGCTAAGATAACACTGTCACCCAAAGCTGCTAAGATAACACTTTCACCCAAAGCTGCTAAGATAACATCGTCACCCAAAGCTGCTGAGATAACAGTCACCCAAAGCTGGTAAGAAAATCAACTCTCCAATTAAGACAACATGTTTTTACCATCACAAGTTAACCCAACCAAACATCTCACCATACAATCTTCGGTTAGTCAACAACAACAACAAAAATATAGGTTTTTACCCAGCTTCTTATGCAAACTATAACATAACTTTTTTTTAAAAATAAATCTCTGGTGCTACCTGGAGGTTTGACACACTTGTGACTGAAAAGTCAAAATGACATAACTTCTAAGAAGTTACAGTTAGGGCACCAGTAGCTACAAGTACTAACCTGATATACTCTGCAGTCCTAGGAAGCATAATGAGTTTTAACTTATTCGCTCTTATAAGTTTAACTCTAAAATTTAATTTAAAGGTTAATTTTTTGACAAATAATATAGAGAGAAAATATTTTTCTTGTGAGTTTTAATTCTTGGAGGTGAAAATGCAATATTAATTTCCTTTTTTTTAAATTCATTATTTATAACATAAAATTTGTTGTTCTTCCGAGCTTTACAGGAACTTGATCTTATTCCATCAACTTAATCATGTGATATTTCTATGCCTTCCCTAACAATTCATCTGTGCGTCTAAGACTAAATGTAAAATACATCATGAGGAGTGGTCAACATACTACATACTTGAAGTCACCAAATCGCGTGCAGAACCAATAGATATCCGCCTGAACTGGGTCATCCACAACTTCAAACCTTTTATCTGTGAGCAGCTTCTTTAAGTCCAGGCTTTCAATGTACACCTTAAGATTTCTATCCACAGGTAGACCTTCAAACTCAAAGTCAGCTGGTGGCCAGGTTTCATCCTCTTTGCCCTTCTGTGCACAGATAGTTACATTTTATTAGACACAAGTACACAGCAAATGAAATGGCTTTTAGTGATTCTGTGTTCTAAAATAATTTTAAAATATGAACAGAATAAGAAACATCTTTATCACAGATTTGTGTATCCTGTAGAAGAAATTTTGAACTTACAAGCATTTTGAACTTGAGCATTTGAACTTAAGACATCTGGCGAGAGATAGGTAGTACTGCTTTTATCATTGTGAAAGTTTCCATGTGTACTGCACATAATTGCTTCTTTATGATTCCAAATTGCACATTTGTTTTAACTGCTGTTATGTTTAGTTAAGTTTAAATGCTTCAATACAGTTAACAACTGAAATAATTTCACAACTTATTAGTAGTCTAAACTTTTACCAAAGCTGAAGTTTAGTCGAGAGAGGATGGGGGCAGTAACTATAGCTTTCAACTGCTATGTTGTCTTGTGTTCTCTTTGTTTCTACTTCTGCATCTACAAGTGTCAATCAGTACTCTGCAATCTGTTTACCATACCAGCTCTACGGATGATGCCGCAAGCTCTTTCCTCCCTCCTAATTTCAGAAGCCAGTAAGGAGTATTAGACCACCAGACTGAAATTCTACAATCAAGGTGGCATATTAGATGTAAACTGGGCATGATCTGGTGCAAAACAAAGTGGATTAGATCTGGTGTATTGTCTCCTTCGCTGAGTTTAGCTATTTGATTGTGAAAAGACTCCATCTCAAAGCCCAGATGCAATGAGAAAAAGATGCATAGAAATTAAATCTGATGCTGCAAAACTTGATGGCAACTAAATACGGAGAAGTTTACTGTTACATGAACTAGAGAGTGAATGGAAAGCTGACACATTCATTGAAGGCTGTTGTTGCTTTGCCAATGTGTACTATGATTTCCCTTGTTGTATCACCTAGGGTCAAAATTGCTACCCAAATAGATCAAATGGTCCGTAGTTTTACTGGTTTGTTCTCTAACATGACATCTACATGATCTTTAATACATTTGTTTTCTCATAACTTGTTTGTAGTCCTATTTCTTATGCTATAGATGACAAATCGTTTGTTTTTCTTTGCATGTCTTATTTTTACTCAACAGAATAATATCTGTAAAATCCAGCTCTTCCAGTTGTCTATTCTCTACCCAATCAATGCCAACACTGCCTTTGCCACATTTTGTTCGTTACCCAATAAATGGCTATTCCAAACAATAAGAGACAAAGAATGCAGCCTTGTTTCACTCATTTCCACCAAAAACCAGTCACTTAGACCATTTTCAGTGCACACTGCACATTCTGAACCATCGTAAAAATTTATAATAACGCATAATAGTTTGGCTAGTATGCTTAAGTATAGCAGTACAAGTTGCATTAAATCCAGATGGCGATTAAACAAAAAAGGCAATTTTTTCAAAAAATACAGTCAAAAACACACCTTGTAACTGTAATCATATGGAAATAGCACAGCTCAAGGTCCCCCCCCCCCCCACCCCCCCCGTAAAATTGCACCACAAACACTTAGAGAACAAACCTGGAAATAGGAAACTTCTGGCTCCACATGTTCAAAGCTGATACGTATGACATTGTGGTGTGTCCAAGGAATGAGGCGTGCACGACGTTTGGCAGTATCAAGTTCTCCAAACACAAAGTCCCTTGTTACTTCATCTAAATTTGACATGTGGACCAAAATAGGTTGCACAGATTCTTCATTTTTGTTGGAATGATGTAAATGTGCTGTGCCTGTTTACAGCATAGCTGCAATATTTGCTACTTTCCACCGACACATTCAACTTTTTCCAGTATTTTTTCTGTAAGCCTTTCCAAGCAGGCTAGAACTAAAAAAAACTCAGGGCGGGTTACTCTAAAGCACACAATCAATGAGATAGAAAGAGTTAAAGTACAACCATTTGTAAGGTGAAAGTTAATGAGTGAGTTATGTTCCTTTTCTTGCTGCTTTTTATTCCCTGACAATTCCCATAACATTCGGTAAAACAGCAATCTATTTTATTGATCTGGCTTAAAAGAAGAGCTTTTCATAGCTCCCTTGTCTCCCCACCTCCTCTCCAAGGCTGCAACCTGAAAAGTTGCTAACACAGATTACTTAAATCTCATTCTGGATAATAAGCCAACAGGGTAGAACTCAAGATAACCAGATGAACCTCCAACCTTGTTATTGGGACACCAATATTGGCCACACCAGCCTAGTCCAGCAGTAGTCCTATGCATGTACAGACTTCTGTTGTCCCCCCCCCCCCCCCCCTCCCACTATCAGGGCTGCTAGTTATGTCTGCTCACTCTGAGATTGAAAAATCTCAAACTGGATGGCCGACCAACAGGGAAAACAAGTGTACTTGTAATGGCTTAGAGTTTAATTGGTCAGGAAAACAAAAATTATACCACAGCTGGAGATCGAACACAGACCAGAACCTTAGCAAGTGCACTAAGCATCCATTAAACTACATTGTATGCTCCTAGGCATCTTTGAGGAAAATGTCACATGAAACTGTAGTGGATGCTGAAGTCCACTGCCATAAAAATCTAACATTCAAAAGAAGTAAATTATTGTGTGTGTAGGTAATTGGAATTCAAGCCTGCAGGCTTGTCTACTTCTGGCTTCAAAGGATAACAATCCATGACGAATGAGATGTTCAATGCATAGAAATGAGGTTAAACAGTCATGAGCAGGACATGACAATTCTGTGGGTGAGCCCAGTATACTGGCTCTGCATTTATGAAAACCTCGGATGGTGGTAAAAGCTCATGTTATGCCCCAGCATAGGACATATTTTTTTTTGCTTTTTTAAAGCCCCACACCAGCTGTTGTAGGGGAACCTAAATATAATCTGGTGGTTAAACAGGGTTTCTTGGACTTGCACCCCAGCGATTCTCATCTGAATGGTGACACTTTGTGTCTCCAGGTGTTTATCATTCTATTTGTCATCCTGGTTGGGTTGTACGTCACTCCCTCACTCTTGAGATTTGACCAGCATTACAAGGCTTCTCTGGACGGGGTCTGAAGTGGAGCACCACCTGTGACTATTAAACAGATGACTACACGAGAATAATACTGCAATGTTCTATGGAACTGAGAAGACTAACCCAGTCAACAAACGCCCGCAGAAGCTGGATGTGTCTGCCGAAAGGTGCAAATATATTAGCCATGCTGTCAATGGGCACAACATAATTACATCTTCAGATGAACTCAGAAGAAGAACTGAAAGCCCAAGGGTTGTATCATTTCCTCCTCGATAGTGGAATAGGGATTTGGACAACTCAGTCTTATAAGTTTAAGCCTTGCTCACTTTGAATGATTTGTAATGTCATACCTCACATTGCATATACCGGGGAGAGGGGGGGGGGGGAAGGGTATACGCCCTGGGGTTCACCAAGAACAAGGGGGACAATAGAGAAACCTTACGCATCAAATGTCTATGTTCGATGCAGCCAGCAGAACAATATCCTGAACCATGTATGCCCCTTGACTTCTAAGTGGTATGGGAGAAAATAAAGAAGAAAGATGCGCTTATCAATAACCAACCCTGAGCCAGAGGTGGAACAAAATAATAGAGAAAAGATAACATAGAAAAACCGAGATCCAGAATCTTGTAACTCTTGAAGTTCCAAGTGATACATTAGAAAGTGAAGGAATGAGACTAAAGTTTTAACCCATGCCAAGTGATCAAGGTAATTGACAAAGAAACTCTACAGCAGTATCAAATGTCTAAGGTTGAAGCAGCAGGAAGAGAGATCATGAACTAGCTGAACGAACTCTATTTGAAGTCTTTATTATACATTAAGATGTTTCTTTTTTAAATAAGTAGAACCATACAGAATGTAATTTTTTCATCAAACATGGAAGAAAATGTCCCATATGATTTGATTTGCACACTGGTAGTCTAGCGGGAGCCATTATTGTCTAGAGGCTAGACGCTCGCCTCGGATAGGAAGGTCATGGGTTCGGTTCCTGGCGGGTGCCGGCCTTTTTTTTTTCAAAAATGACCTTGGCTCCTAGGTCGACCCAGCCTTTAGTGGGTACCAGGTAGAGTCCTGGGAAGTAAAGGTGGCCGGCATGATGCTGACCACATCACCCACCAATTGCAGTTGGTCTATAAAACATAGGTCTAGCCCTGTATACCCAATACATCTGAAAGATATGGAAAAGGGTCTGAAAGATATGGAAAAGGGTCCTTTACTTTACTTTACTGGAAGTCCAGCAGATCACAGTTCAGATGACCAGTATATTATCCTAAAATGACAAATAGTCAGCTTGATACATACCTCCATTCCTTACTTCCATCAGCGGCCACATGATGGAGAATGCTCTCTCAATAGCCTTGTAGTAAAATGGGATGACTCGAAAGTTGGGCGTGTCTGAGTGGTGGATGCGACTTCCAAACTCATCCATAATAAACCACTTGGGTTTAGTAGTTTCAGTGTCCTGAAGGTGAAAATATTAAATACAGTGGTATGATGAGTCAGCAGCCAAATACCAGCAAACATGAATATTTCGTGCATCAACATGATGCGAATCACCAACTGTTTTGCAGTCACTTAAGACACACACACAAAAAGCATCTCAGGATTCTTTACAAGTATTATGAACCAAAGAATAGGGAACATTACTGATAGTCTTGAAGGTTAAAATAGAAAGTATTGGCTGTCAGAAGTTTTATTCGAAGGGGACTATCATTCCAAACGAATCACCTCTTCCTCTTAGCACTATTCTAGTAGGCACTCAACTTTTCTCAGCATGGTCAAGTGAGTTTCAATTTACATTTATTTAATTTAATTGCATTTGTATTTATGTATTTTAGTATTAAGCAATGTTTAAATTATTTTACGCAACTCCATCTTCATATAATGTACCAATAATATGACACACCAGCCACCCCCCTCTCCCCCCCCCCCCCCCCACTCGTGCACTCACTCACACACACATAATAGGATAATAAGGCTCCTGAACTTACACAGAAGGGATTACAGGCCTAATCAGTAGTGAGGCATAATCAATTCGCAAGTGTAAGTGTCAGCAGGTAACTATTACGCGGAGCATCGGGTTATATTTTCCTGATCACATCGCTGTTTAGAGTATGTATATACATAGCTAGCACTGAAGAGCAATACTAGTAACTGGCAGCTTTTACACATTGCAGTTTCTGCTAAGTATTATAAGAATGCAGCCAGAGTTCTTTTAACTATGTTCAAGACGTAAACGGAGTTCCTATTTGTAGTATAGTAAACATTCTATGTCTTGGCAATAGAAAATATAAGCTGTTACATGCATGCCTGGCCACAGCCCTTATCTCTGAAAATTCGAGTTTGCAAATATTTAAATTTCTTACTTCACTAACATGACAATTCACTTACCAGGGCAATTCTTCCAAAAGATGTCTGGACGAAGCTGAAATGGTAAAAGTTGTAATATTAAGAAGAGCAACAAGCAATTATGGATTCAGCCAAAGTGCTTAAGGAAAAAAAAACACAGCAAAATTGTTTTCCTTTGTGACTGCATGTCAGTCCTCCAGGCGACTCAGAGGGATCCACGAGACAACATGGAGAGAGAACTGACCTGCCAGCTATCAGAAATCAATGGAAAATACAAGGAATTGTAGGGAGAACAAATTAATTGTAAACATCCACAAGACTCAGCAGACTCAACAGTAAGCAACATACGATTTTCCATCTATCAGTTGAGTTCATAGAGGCCACCAATCTGATGGTCTGACCTGAGCATACAAAACCAAACCCAAAGAAGGAGGAGGATATCCTTTGGGGGTTCTACTATCGCACCATACAGGATGTCCTTGAGAGACTACTATCCTCCATCCTCTTAGTGTGTCATAGCATCTGAGACTCCAGAGAGACTGAGCATTGAGAAAAACTGGTTGATGCCTATTATTTCCAGTATCTCAATGTTTGTAATCTTGCCTTGCTACTGAATGCAAAGCTTTTCTTTGTAGGCTTATCACGTGCCACACTGATTAGCATATACAGGTCTACCTGAATCACTGATTAGGTATGTGTTCTTGTCCCTATTATGACTTTTGGTTTTGCCAGTTGCCAAGTTTTTGAGTATATTCTTTCCCAAATAGTCCTTGATTTTCTACTACAGCAAAGAATCATGTCTGAATGTTGGTAACTTACCACCACATGTAGTCCAAGATCTTGTGAATTTGCTTCTCCTTGCTTAATCCATCAGCTTCAATGGCCATTAAGTTTGTCATTCTTTTGGTAAGGTCTGGGTCACCTTCCAGGGCTGGCCGCACTTCTTTAATTTCATGAGTCCATATGTGGTCAATAAGGTAGATGCTAGATGGGAGGAAATGACAAATTCCAAGAGTGTGAATCAACATAGATTTACTTGTATTTATTGTATGAAGAAATAAATACATAATTCTAAAAATTAATGTGAAGGTAATGAGATTATCGTGAACCAAGAAAGGGAAAATGTATTTACATTCTTGTGGGATTTTAACATCGAGGGGAATGTCTCACATACAGTTTTGTTCCTCAGAAACTAAAGTATATCTGTTATATTTAAAACCATAACAGTTTAGAAAGAATGAGTAAAGAAGCATGAAAGACTTTCACGCAAGTGGCTCATCGGGCTTATGATACTAGTCTTTTTATAAATCAAACGACCCTCAGAATGTGATCTGGTTAACATAATGCTGACCATCTTTACTTCCCAAGACATTACCCGTACCTGGTACCCATCTGAGGCTAAGCCTACCAAGCCTACTAGTATTTTATTTAGAAGGTATAATGCCATCAGGGAGAATCCTACCTATAAACAACATCTAGTAATATTAATGTGGTTAAAGTATTTGTTTTTCTGAGACGATGTAAGTAATGGGTTACTTCAACACTGTCCCCCATGTGGGTTCCGGGGCCCCATTATAGGGAAAACAATAGACCCACTGCCTCCCCAAAAAGCATGTTGTAAGAGTCGACTAATTGGGGGCTTCCTTTGAAGTTGGAGTGCATCTGCCTGAGAGGCAAGGAACCAGCAGTCTGCATACAAATAAGTCAGATCTGTAAAACAGATGCACACGCAAAACTCAGGTCCTGGAACAAAGCCAAAGTCCAGAAATGGATGAACAACCAGGTCTATCCACTGAAGTTTATAGCCGGTGAACGCAAACAACAACAACTTCAACACCGTTAGTTCATCAGGTCTATGGTGCAAGATGCATATTTGTTACTGACTAATCGGTATTCAATGGATGATGTGATCTATATCAAGACGACCAACTTTACTTCAGATGACATTTCCCTGTACCTATTACAAACTGGATCAGCAGCTTAGGAACCAAGGTAGGTTGACCATACGTCCTGTTTTCACTGGGACAATTCATTTTTGAGGGGTGTCCTGGTCCTCTCATGCAGAAAATCACACACTGTCCCATTTTATAAACCGGGAATATGCTCAAGAGTACTTTTTACTTATTTTTTTCTTGCTTTTACAATTTATAAGCCTATATACATTCTCTTGTTCTTAAAATGTGTTAGTTCCTTAATGATTAAAAATAATAATAAACTATGGAATACTGTCATGGGTTTTCAGGTCACAAAATTGGTGGGATGTGCCATTTTCGTCTCAAGATATTGTGGTCACCCTAAGCTATGGTCATATTTTTAAAAGAAATCCTATTTAAATGAGGATTCGAACCCAAGACCTTTTTCACACAAAGGCAAATGTCTAATCACTTCTCTATCACGGCTCCCAAAACACATCCACCTGAACAGGGGTTCGAAAATAAGACCTTCGGCTGATGGGCAAACGTTCAATAAAGGGACAAAGTATTAGACCAAATTTAAGAGAGTGCAGATTCTCTGGTGCACATGATCGACTATTACTGTACTAGTGACGGCCCATGGTATATAAACTATTAACACTTGCCCTGGCCTCTCACTCGCAGGATCCGAAGTGGAACAAAACAAGATGTGGAAAACACGGAGCTAAGGATCACTAGCTGTAGAATATGAGCTGGCTAGGAAGAAGCAAGCTATAGTGGCGTCATGGCTAAGATGCTTGCCTGCTGGCATTAGTGTCATGGTTTACCATTGCTCTGAACGACTGTTCACACCGTTGTCGAAACCAACAAATAACGGTCTGCTGCCAAATTGCCGACTGCTAGAATCAAAACAGGTATTTCAGAATTATAAAGCATGTTAGCAATGCCTAAGGCATAAACACAAACTCTACTACCGATGTATCAATAGTACTATATCTATTGCAGTTAAACCATTTGTCCTGTCTTTATAATGAAGGTTTGATGCAGAGTATACGTGCAGTTGCTGCTCTCTTTGGGAATAATTGGTCAGGCCCCAATCACTCACACAATACAACTCCTGTAACTCTGAAAGCCATGGGAGCTGATTTTTTGGGGGGTATCTTGAGGACTGTAAAAGGTGTTCAAAAAGATTAAACCCACAGAGCCGAACACTGCTGGCTGCTTTAGTTCCCAAGGGGGTTTACATACATACCCACTTAATCAGCAGGTCCATTACTGAAGGTCACCCTCGTCACGGCACGACTGAAAGTCTCTGGCTAACTCTCCAGCCCTATGTGCTTTTCTTGCCTGCATCTTCCATGTTTTTGTCGCCACCTTCGTGGAGGTCTGCTTCGTTTTTCAGAAACTACCTCCACCCCCTTTCCCCACCCAGTTGCGTTCTCTCCATGCCACCTTGACATTAAACAATTGTCAAAATACCTCAGCTTTTGGGACAGGGTGTTTGTGAACCAATTTCCCCCAATGTCCAGATCATGTAGGATGTCAAGTGTTTACCACATAGCACTGCTGGACACACACTGGTAGTTAGTATTTAGTTCCACAGTTAAGGGTTCCATTGTAACTTCCTTGACGTTAAATGTCACATCTGGGATTTTCACTTTTTGTTTGCATTCCAGGATGTGACGAAGTCACAAGGGGGATCACAACAAGCTGCAGCCTGGGTGGGTAAACAGGGACAAACAGGCATGCAGATAGGCATGCAAACATGCAGGTCGCAGACATGAAGAACAAACATGCAAGTAGCAGACATGCAGACAGGCAGACATGCAGACAAACATGCAGGTAGCAGACATGCAGACAGACAGACATGCAGATAAACATGCAGGTAGCAGACATGCAGACAGGCAGACATGCAGACAAACATGCAGGTAGCAGACACGCAGACAGACAGACATGCAGATAATCATGCAGGTAGCAGACATGCAGACATGCAGACAGACAGACAGACATGCAGACAAACATGCAGGTAGCAGACTGGCAGACATGCAGACAAACATGCAGGTAGCAGACAGGCAGACATGCAGACAAACATGCAGGTAGCAGACAGGCAGACATGCAGACAAACATGCAGGTAGCAGACAGGCAGACATGCAGACAAACATGCAGGTAGCAGACAGGCAGACATGCAGACAAACATGCAGGTAGCAGACATGCAGACAAACATGCAGGTAGCAGACAAGCAGACATGCAGACAAACATGCAGGTAGCAGACAGGCAGACATGCAGACAAACATGCAGGTAGCAGACAGGCAGACATGCAGACAAACATGCAGGTAGCAGACATGCAGACAAACATGCAGGTAGCAGACAGACAAACATGCAGGTAGCAGACAGACAGACAGACAGACAGACAGACAGACAGACAGACAGACAGACAGACAGACAGACAGACAGACAGACAGACAGACAGACAGACAGACAGACAGACAGACAGACAGACAGACAGACAGACAGACAGACAGACAGACAGACAGACAGACAGACAGACAGACAGACAGACAGACATGCAGGTAGCAGACATGCAGACAAACATGCAGGTAGTAGAAATGCAGACAGACAAGCAGGTAGCAGAAATGCAGACAGACAGACATGCAGACAGACAGACATGCAGACAGACAGACATGCAGACAGACATGCAGACAAACATGCAGGTAAAGTACATGCAGACAAACATGCAGATAGCAAAAATGCAGACAGACTTGCAGACAAACATGCAGGTAGCAAAAATGCAGACAGACACAGACAGACACCGACAGACAGACAAACAAGCAGACAGACAAACAAGCAGACAGGCAGTTAAGCAGACAGAGGTAGAGATCCATTGGTATGTTTACCTTTTAGGGTCATTAGGTTGGATTGGTGAAGAAGCGCAGCACATAGCCCTCCAGCCACCAGTAACTGTTGTCAGTGGTGCCTCAGGATCGTTCTGGATCTCAAACAGCATTTCGTCATCGTGCAACTTGCTAGCCTCAAATAACAAGTCCTGTTTGAAATTAACACAGGTATTTACCTTAAGCTTAAACTGTTGAACTCAAAAGAGGTTTAAAATCAACACAGTGTTAACAATAAAAAAAAAACACTAGCCTCCGATAAGTCCGATGTTAACCCAACAAGTATTAACATTGAAAAATAGTTGGCCTCAAATACAGGTCATGTTTTCAATCAACTAAATCATTTACAATAGGCTTAAATTGTTGGCCTCTAATAAAAGGTCCTGTTTTAAATAAACACTAGCATTAACATTGAACTTGCACATATAGTCCAAACACAGGCACTGAAATCTGCCCCCTTCAACCATGTTTAAAATTGTTCTGTAAAATTTTATACATTTCATGTTTTTAAACATATATTTATTTGCCATTTAGTATATTATTATTCTTATGCTCATAAACTAGACAGGCCCATTAAGACCCCATGGTTGTATCCAGGTACTGTGCAGGACAGGATTTTACTTCCACTGCATAAAACAAAAAAATCCATTACCTTATCAAGGGTTGGAACCTGGGCCTCCCTAATGAGAGCCCTGTGTTCTTAACTCTGAGTCCCAAGGAACGCATCATACATTCATAGGTTGCTACCTAGAAGCCCAATGAACGCATAACTCTCACAAAACCTATTCCAGTCACCACTGGATGAAAGGACTGATCATCAACACCTGTGATGGATGGACAACAACAACAAGAGAGAATGACAGAAGAACAGCACTTAAAACAGCTGAGTTGGAGTGGTCCTCCCAAAACAGACCAAGAAGATGACGGAGAGATAATATACATTCTGATTTACGAATACCTGGAGTTACCAAATGGATATAGAAGGTCTATCTGCGAGATGAATGGAGGCAGGTGATATCTGTATCAGTCAACCACAAGGGCCTGGAAAGCTGAAGCTGGTGTAAAGCAGTACAAGCAATACACATCCATAAACATGAGAAATTAAAACAGTTTGCCCCATAGCGGGTTGTCATAATTCTGTATGAGGCATAAGAATTTAAGAAAGACAAACGCATGGTGGGTTGCTTGGTACTGGGCTCTTATGAGGCAATTTATGGCATATATGAAACACAAAAACAAGAGTAAAGAAACATTTTCCACACCAGGACTCCTTAGGCATTTTGTACAAGCACTGTTTAGTTTTTAGACCAACCAATGGTTGATGTGGACAAGATCACACAGTGCACGGTTTCCCGGGCATTTTGTACAAGCACTGTTTAAACTTTAGACCAACCAATGGTTGATGTGGACAAGATCACACAGAGCACTTTACCGGATGTTTTGTACAAGCACTGTTTAAATTTTGGACCAACCAATGGTTGATGTGGACAAGATCACACAGAGCACTTTACCGGATGTTTTGTACAAGCACTGTTTAAATTTTGGACCAACCAATGGTTGATGTGGACAAGATCACACAGAGCACTTTACCGGATGTTTTTTACAAGCACTGTTTAAACTTTAGACCAACCAATAGTTGATATTTACAAGATCACACAGAGCACTGTTTACTGGGCATTTTGTTCAAGCACTGTTTAAACTTTAGACCAACCAATGGTTGATGTGGACAAGATCACACAGTGCACGGTTTCACAGACATTTTGTACAAGCACTGTTTAAACTTTAGACCAACCAATGGCTGATGTGGACAAGATCACACAGAGCACTTTCCCAGGCATTTATTGATTCCCATTTGAGACTAAAAAAAAAAATAAATGAAAGGTCTCCACAATTTAGGTTGGCTACAAATGTCATCTTTAGAAACATTATGTGGTGAGGCCCAATCTTTTCCAGTGGGATTCTCTTAAATTGTTTGAAAACCACGTGAATCAATAGTTTAGATCCCTGTGTGGGTTCCAGGGCCCTATTTTGGAAAAAAAAAAAACAAGAACAGACCCACTGCCTGCCTAAAAGCATGTTATAAGAGTTGAATAATTAGGATCTTCCTTTAAAGTTGGAGTACATCTGCCTGAGAGGCAAGGAACCAACAGTCTGCATGCAGAATAGTCAGACTTGAGATATTGATGTGCACACAACACTCGGTTTCTGGAACAGGATTAGAGTTCAGAAGTGGACGAACAACAGAACTTTCTGCCGGAGTTTACATCCGGTGAACACAAAAAAGAAGAAAAAGAAAAGTTTACACTTAAGATCAGTTTATTTTTTAAATAATTTGTATCTATATAAAGTCATAGCACTATATGCCCAGAAGATCCTGATGACCACTGGTCCCTAAGACAGTTTTTGATGACCACATATCGCAGCCTAGTTGTATACTAACATAACCACAGCTCATCAATTAATAACCGACACCATAACAGACCTTAAGACATTATCTCCCCTGCCTGTCGGCTTGGCACTTGATGCTGCTGACTGACCAAAATCACTTTTTACATATTCTACTATATAACCTTTTTTTAAATCCCCTACACTAAAACAGTCAACACACCTCTCTTCTTTTATTCTAGTATATAACGTATAAGTCTAGTTTCATATAGTTCCATGTTATCACTTTTATATATTTCTGTTATCTAGCAAAATACTGTCTATCCCCTGCCCCTCGCCAATCAATACACCTAGTTTTCCTTTACTCTACTATATGACCTCTAAAAGGGCTCCCGTACTGCCCCTCCCCCAGCCCCCGCCGCTCACTGCCACCCCTGAAATCCTAGGATGATCTGCTGTCTACCATGTCACCAGGTTCTAGAAGAGCCTCATCCGAGCCGCCAGGAGACCTGCCTTTGACCCGCATCTGACCCAAAAGCCGCGAGGTGACCTACATAGGGAGGTGCAGATCGTCTTTTCCTAGTTAAAATCATTTGGAGATATACAAAGGTAAAGAAGACAAAAAATTACTAAGAATATAAAGCAGCAACGCCCTAAAAATACGCATTTTGTTGGTATATACTACTCACGTTAGGAAACACTGCTTTAGACTAGGCTAAGTTAAAGTTAACTGCTGAAAATGACTTAAGAATTCGAAAACATTGGTGTCGGGCAATGGTAAGCCATTTTACATGGCGCACATAACCTAGTCACAATTATACCCTAAAGCTCCCCCTTCGGATGCTGGTTGAACGTGACGATTATTTTTAACAAAGCATCGGATCGGATCGAACTAAAATCAACAAAACTTGAAAGCTCAAAATCGTTCTGATTTATATATATATGTTGCAGCGAATACGTTGCAGTAACAACAGAGCGGTGCACATCGGGAAACTGGGGCTGCGATGTCTCAGGCTAGCGGGGCGCTGGCTCGCTAGGTGAGATGGTATCCGCCTGGTTAAATACTTCCATAAACTGCCACAGGCCTAGCAAGTGGATTAAACCTTGAACGTACAAGATAAATCGGACTAGTGTCGACCATACAAGCATTGGATCCATGGAATATCCGAGGCCATAAATAGCATCTACGCAGCACATACCAAGGCTCGCGCGCAATGCCTCTTCGAAACCTGACGCTGAAATGCGGAACAGGACTATAGGAGAAGAGAAGGACATTCCGGCTCCACCGTAAAGAAAGAGTGGCTACGACAGATCGCCAATGATGACTCTCCTCTTGCAGGTTGGTACACAGTCAAGCAGCCGTCCGTCCGTCTGGTGATACATTGGCGTTGATATCCCTGCGAACATGTACTCGTCTACCTTGTACTTTTCCATCCAGTGTGGTTTCAGTCTCTCTATCTCTCTCTCTCTCTCTCTCTCTCTCTCTCTCTCTCTCTCTCTCTCACACACACACACACACACACACACACACAAACATGCACCCTCGCGCAATACAAACACGCAAGAACACAAATCCTAACCTCTACATTTCTCGACGACTGCATTAGCCAAGCAACCATACATTCTCAGGTACGAAACACCCCACCTCTCCCGAGTTCTATATCCCAGTAACAATTGACCAGAACAGGTGGAGTAGACATTTAATGTGGCCAAAATGTTTCACCCCTGTCATTAAAAACAAAATAATTTAACTATAATTATCCATCACATACCTCTCTTATCAGCTTGGTGTATAAAGTTTGCCAGAAGAGTTTCGGCACAGCTGAAGTCTGCAGCTGTTTGCCATGAGCTTGCACGAAGATCTGAAAGTCTAACGGATTCAGTTCCATTTCTCAAAACACAGCGCTCCAGCGAACTGACCACAGACTGGCTAGCCTATTAGGTCCACTGTTACAGAAGTTGTTAGATCGAGGGACACGCTCTTCAACGACCAAGAATCAACAAACAGGCACCATTCGCTCGTGGCAAACGTGACCACTGGTCATCTCGCTAAGGACCGTAAGTGTGTAGTTTTACTCACAAAACTGAAACGTTTATAGCTGCTTATATGTGTTTATTCATCGCCGTCATCATCATTATAACCAACTTACACTTGTGCCGTAAAACCTGTGCAATTTGCAGAGCATTACTAGATGCGTAGTCCTGGCTGTTGCAATTTTGAGTAAATATATGATTTTAAAAATATCGTTTATGAAAAGGTGTTATTACCAGTTATGATTCTTCATCTTCCGTCTTTTATCCCCCAATGGAGCATAGGCCGTCAGACAAATTCACGACGCTGTCTGATCCTTTTCTATCGCATGCAGGTCACTCATGTCCTCCTTTACTTTACTATCTAACTCTCTTCTCTGTGGGTTTTTAGACTGTCTTTATTTCTATCCCTGCTGGTTCCAGTGCAAAGACATTCTAGGTATATTGTTCTCATGTTTTGTTGATAAGGAGATGCAATGGTGTAGCGGCTAGACGCTTCGCCTACCGGCATGATAGTTTTGGGATCGAATCCCCACCGAGTCTTATTTTTCTTTCAAAATGATTTTGGCTCCCAGCTCGACCAGGCTTAAAATGGGTAAAAATATGGGGGTGACTGCAGTCAAGCTTTTTTTTCGGATTCTGTTCTAGACATTTCACAGAAAAATTGTTTCACAAATTTTGGCATTTTAATTTTCACAATAATTACTCTGCAGCGAAATTTTCATTGTTATTCTACGTAGTGAGTCAACCACATGAGAACAAAGCATATAAGTTTGTGGATGTACACATTTGAGGACAATAGCTCCCCCCTCCCCCCCCCCCCCCCAGGTACACATATTGTCAGTACCTGGCACAAATCCGCCACCACATAATGGGTAGCAAATAAAGTCTGGGGAAATACAGATGACATCACCCACTGAGTCTTTACAAATATGAGCCGAGTATCCTTAAATGCCCAAGTGCATTCATATAGGGACCCTTACGTTCACTTTACAAGGGTTGATACACTCTGCTGTAGTTGCAAAACACTGAGATGTATGATAGTCACACAAGATTGCATATGCGTGTCAGCAGGTTTCTCCCGCCATGCTGCTATGAGACTAACAGGGCAAAACCAAGATACCCCGTTCAGTCTCCAAAAAGTTATAACACCAGCACCCGTAACGACTGTATCAGTCTGGTGAAACATGCAACCCACTGCCCGCAGACGATTATACCGGTCTGACAGATACTTTAAAAAGAAACTGTGAGTTTTAAAATAGTTCAGTCATAAAACCTTTGCTAATAAAGATTGACAAAATGTAGGCGTGGGTATAATTCACTTAGACGACCCCAGTACAATTCAGTTGGACGACTTCAACAAAGGATAACTCGGAGACCCTAGTCTAGTCCACTTTTCAACGGGTGTTAGGTGTTGAGTTGTCATCATGAACGACGTCATCATCTCAGTCTGCGTTTTTGTTTTGCTTATTATTTTACGTCATAATTCTCAAGAGTGCCCCCCCCCCCTCCCCTTCCGTCACTAAATGTTTGTGGAAGTTGACTACTAAAACAGAAGTGATTCAGGTCAGTAGAATTCCTAGTCGGCTACATATCGGACTGAAGCAAGTTAAAGAACTTAAATATCTAGGAAGTGTTTCTCAGAGGATGGGAGAATAGATCAGGAAATGGAACAAGATGCCAATGCACTTTCATACCAACTCGGCGCGCTAGCTAAGTTGCTTAAACCAGCTGCGCGGCGACCGAATGACAAACTCCTTGGGGTCCGAGTTCGGGCTCAGTGATGGGGGGGGGGGGGGGGGTAGGCAGAAAAGCCACATATTTCCCTGACTTATGGTATCTTTCACAGAATCAAGGCCAAAGGGTTGCGATGTCCATAGCACCCAGTCAAAATGTTTATAACTCATGGTTTTCAGACTCCCCCCCCCCCCCCCCCCACAAAAAAAAATGACACCGTTATTAAGACATCCAAACGTAAGTATGAGCCCCAAGAAACACATTATAAATCGCATATTCATACCCAAACTGTGCTATCAGAATCTAGCTAACCTACTGAAAATTAACACCTGTAAAACCAGATGCCTGAGAAAAGCCGCCAACTTAAACACCCGAGACAACGTTGGAAATGAGGTTATCAGACAGACGGTAGGAGCAGATCGAATGGTTTGGTCATTTAGTAAGAATGCACCCAGAACAATTACTAACGCAGGCGCTACACATGAAGTGAAAGCGAGAGGCCGACCTAGGAAATCATGGACTGATGGCATTAAAGAGCTTCTACATAGACACGGAATGACAGTTACTATTGCAGCCCATCAAGCAATGGATCGCAAACAGTTTCTCCCCACAACGCTTAATAGCAGAATTGAAAATTGATGATGATGATGATGGAATGCAGGCTGCTTACTTCTACTTCGTGCTTCGTTCGTGACTTCACCGTGAATTTCCTTGGCATTTTGCATTCATCCAGACACTGCTCCAAGAATCGTCTCATGATCCTGTCGCGAACTGGCAGTCATAATCGTTGGAGATGCCGGTATTCCAACTGTCTAGAGGACATCGTGCTGCGGCAAGGTGTGTGGCTGCAAGGTTCGTGTCTACCGTTCAGCCAGGTTATTTTGTGAGCGTGTGTGTGGTGTGTGTGTGTATGTGCGTGCGTGCGTATGTGTGTGTGCGCACGTGTACGTTTGTGAATTGTGTGTGCGTGTGTATGTGTGCTAATGCATGTGTATGTATGTATGCGTGCGTACGTGCGTGTGTGTGTGTGTGGGTGTGTGTGTGTACTGTTGGTCTCAAGAGCCGACGAGCATTGCGTTTTGCTAGTTGGAGTTGGGGATGTCGGCGCCAATAGACGTTGACTAGAGCATTAACCTAGGGAAAGTTTCTGCCAACATACTGCCAGCCAGTCCTGCAATGTCCGCCCCCCCCCTCACCAATGTATCCCTAATTGTCAACCTCCTTAACGACTGCACATAGAGTTCGTGGTCGTTCAGCCAGCAACATACACACACACACACGCATGTACACAAACGCGCGCAGGCACAATCACACATACACACATCCACACCCAGCTCACACACCTACACACGCACACAAAAGCGTGACAACAGTAGCTAGCAGCAGCAGCAGCACACTGCAGTTTCCCAGCACTTTGTGAAGATACGACAATTTTCCTAAAAAGGACCGACAGTGTGGATGTACCGTATACTGGGTGGTAACCCAGAAGTTGTCAAGTCTGCAGTTTTACAGCGTTAGTAGATCTGAAGATATTATCTAATACAACAACTCACTGAGTGGACTGATATGGTGGATTCGGCAGCTGACCGGGACACCGACTACGACTCTTGCAGCGGCCAGAAGAGAGCAATGTCCGAAAGAATGGTTGTGAACAAGTCGAGACCAGCACGTATAGTGCGTCTACGCCACATACACTGGCACATTTACGGTTCTAGCAGATGTCTGTGCCTCCCATTCTGCCCGTTGTTTCTCTCCTTCGTTCCTCTCCACATACGCTCGATGCACTGAGTGTGTGCACCAGTCGTGGGATCGACAACGTTTCCGGAGTGGCTCACTGGCATGTGTGTTAATCCGAAAATATTATCAGTTCCTTTGTGTCTCTGCTTTTCCGTCCGCAACACAAAACATGAAGCACTTGCCTGTCTCCCAACAGATGCCACCAAATACCCAGTGCTGTGGGAGAACTCGCCGCACCTGATTTTTGCACCTTGATCAGCGCTTACATACCCCCCCCCCCCCCCGGCCACACAAAAAAAAAAAAAAAAAACCACACGAATACACACAATAAATTAAGCGACTTCTTCTTCTTCGTTCGACTTCAGTCATGCTAAACATTGAGTCCCGTCTGGGTCACAAATAGGATTGGGCGTTTAAGGTCGCCACCGGTCACCCATAGCTTCTCTTGCAATGTGGCTCCCTTGGGCCAGATCCACAGTCTTTGCTGGGAGAGGTTAGGGCAGTACTGCAGTATGTGCTCAGGGGTCTGTCTTTCTGTTCCATAATCACAGGCAGCAGATTCTTTTATGCCTATCCTGTACAAGTGTGCTCGAAGACCACAATGTCCAGTCCGAAGTCTAAAAATAAAATTAAGCGACTAACACACACAGTTTCATCTAACATTCTCGAATTACGGCTTGGCATTTAAGAGCAACTTAGTCTTGGGCTACACGTGTCTTTTCATTCCACTGGCTTCCCATCAATGTGGCTGCTTCGGGATACGTCAGTTAAGTGACATAGTTTATTGAATTGTTTTATATATGTGTGTGCTGACAAAGACTCTGTTGCCACAAGGATCACTTTTCGCTTGTGTTTATTCAGTTGTGAAACCTGCTAATTTACTTTTCGTTTTGTTTTATATCTTTCCCTGGTATTCTCATCTTTTTCAACAACTTTATTCGGTCCCTGCAGGATTCAGCAGACGTTTGTTGGTGCAAACCCCACTGATGACTAATGATTCCAGACAGTAATTGCTGCATTTGACATCACTAACTCTAAGTGATAAAATTAGAGGCTCGTCAACTCTTGAGACCAGTAGTACACGAAAAGAATCACATGTCTTTAAGTCTTGAAGAAACGTGTCATGCCTGAGCGTGATGTCCTCTCGCCAATTCCAACAGTGGCTCTTCAACAGTCCCGACGCTCGGTCAGCGACAGCACAATGAGATAATTCTTGGAACAGCGTGTGGTTGAATGCAATATGTCGTGTTGCTGTAGAAAAGCAACACTACTCTGCTGGTCCCTCGTCAATGCTTACAGTTGAAGGAAATTCATCTCGAAGTTCAAAGGCCGCAGTGATAACGATGAGGGGCCAACGCATAACGCTGTCACACACACAGTGCCGACCGGTAACAACTGTGGAAATTAAAACGTGCCGGCCGCTTGCTCAGAACGTAGAATAAAGACTGCTTACATGTTGAAAATAACACAACTTTACAACCCTAGAACATAGAACAGCCCATGGGAAATTTCAGACATGAATGGGGGCCGAAACGAGACCTCGCGAGAGACGGGCATGTTCGTGACATGTACCGAAATTATATGTTGGTGAGGATACACAGAAGAGTATGTTGTATTTTATGAATAAAAACACACAATCAATTAATTCAGGGACTCTGAACAAACGGGTAAAAGGCGCATAGTTTATAACAGTGTTTGTCAAAGTGAGCGCTACAGCCCCTGGAGGGCGCTAGGACCGTCCATGTCAGCTGCAGCTGGCCCGGTTTAAAACAAAATTGGAGTGGGGGGGGGGGGGAATGGAACAGCCGATGGGGGCGTTGTAAGCTGTCATGTACTCCCTTTGACGTCTTAGCAAATGCAAAACCCTTCCTCATATTGAATAGCTCAAATGGTCTCTGTTGAGGGAGACGGAGTGTTTACGGGTGTATGTCATGACGTCACTTTTGCTGACGAATAATAGCCAAAAGCTGGACGGGTCTCTCCGGTCAGGATCATGTGACATCATTGTCGTCATCCCCGTCCACAATTTGGTCACATTCGAAATGTGGTCTGTTCTTTTGTTAACACAAGTCACGTGATTTAGATCAAGTTTAAAAAGTCGGTGCGACCATTTGTCCAGCACATGTGTGGCTGACCAGCGTTGTGTAGGTGGAAACATTACCTTGTTGCCATTTGAAGTTGAGGTGAGTGTAAACATTTATTTTACTTTGTATTGTAATTTAAATTAAATAATCGTATACAATTTGAAATTTATAAAATGTTTAGACGTGTATAAATCTCAAAACATTTTTAGGCTATCCTCCTAATAACGGTCCTAAATTATCGAGGCGAAAAATATACCCTTACAGGGCCTCAGTCACGTGTCAGTTACGCACTTCAGGGGACTATAACGCCACCGCCGAACTGCGAGCTTCCGGCAACTTCCGCCACGCCGAGAGTATCCGTGACGCCGCTCACGCGGCGTGGATTGGGGCTAAAATGGATGGCTAGGACACGAGCAAATAAAATGAAGGAAGCTGCAGGAGATGCGGTCGCTGCTGCTCGTGAGTCCCAGCCATATAGATTAGCGCCAAACCACGCGGCGTGGGGGCTACTCTCGGCAGTGGCGGAAGTCGCCGGAAGCGCGCAATTTAAAACGACGGAAGTGCGCAATTGACATGTGACTGGGCCCTGTTAGAGTATATTTTCCGCCTCGATAATTTAGGACCGTTATTCGGAGGATACCCCCTACTGTCGTCCGGGGTCCCAATATAAAGGTTTCTGGGACTTGTGCTTCGGGGATTCTCATCCGAATAGTGGCGTTTTGTGTCTCCGGGTGTTAATCGCTCTTTGTGCGGTCCTGGCGGGGTTGAACCTAAGTCACTCTTTCCCTAGGAGCCAACAGCCTAGAACTCTACAATATGCTTTACAATGCTATGTTTTCTTAATTTAGAGAGTGAGAAATATCGAAACCCCCCCCCCCCCCCTTTTGTTTACCTCGTTTTCGCCTATAAAAATGTATGCGGAAAAAAGCAGTATTTGTTAGGCAGTATTTTTTTCTTGGCGGCGTGCTTACCTTCGTGGACACGGGCTCACAGCCCCACAGCCCACTACAGTTGTAACTTAATAACTTTGGGACTCCGAGCGACCGGGTTTTGATAAGCGGGACATGTGGTAGGCATTTGTCGTGTCCAACAGTTTAAGGAGAAGGGAAGAGAGAGAGAATTGACAAGAAGCGCGACAAGCACAGAATGAAGGGAGCAATTGATAGAGGAGTCAAGCTCGCTAGCGTAGTTTGCTAAACAGTAGTGACCGGGTGACGAGCTCCATGTGGTCCGGGTTAACGCCCGGGGGTAGGCAGAAAAGCCACATTTCTCCTAGATTTACGCTATTTATCATGGGATCAAGGCCGAAGGATTGCGATATCCGTTATACCGAGCCCAAGGGTTAACATCTCATGGCTTTTGAATGCTTTAAAAAAAAAAGATAGAGAGGGGATGGACAGACAGAGAAAGAAAGAGAAACAAGAAAGAAAAACGGTTGTCCATGCACCGTGTATAAAATTGTTTTATTTTCCCTGTCCATACTTAACATTTACTACTTTACGTACAACTTGTAAATTGCAACTAAATGTTGTTGGAAAGAATGCAGGTTACACATGTGAGAGAGGGAGAGAAGAGTTGGAAAGAAAGAGAGTGAGGAGGAATGTATGTTCTGCACGCATTGCAAATAGAATACTGTTGATGTATCTTTCATTAGATCATGTAACTTTTGAAAATGTATTGATTTGGCCAAAGGGCGGGGTCGGTCACAAACATAAACAACCGAAAAGATACAAACGGCAAGAGATTTAAAAAAAAAATAATAATTATGCCGGGCGTTCTCCTGTTCGGCCTGGGTTGCCGACATAATATTCTTCGGCTCGTCAAGCGACCAGGCTGGGCATTTATGGGGCGTGGCGAAGTGGTCAAGCTGCCCGCCTTTCTGAAGGTTGTTTGTTTGTTTCCCAACCGGTGAAAGCCGGAGACGGTCGTGATTCGTTTCAGGCCACGCTGTTTACTTCAAGGGTGCAAATTTTTACAAATATCGCAGCTGGAGCTGCGGAGTTCGTGTTTGTGCGACGCTCTCGACAGGCAGCTAGTCATTCTGCGAAGAGTTACCGAACCACATGGGATAAAACCCGATGCAGTGAAGTCGATCCTATCGACACCTTAAACCCACGGGGAACCGACCCAGTAACAAAATGATAATAGTAATGTTCTAACTGTGAAATAAATATTATATACTGCAGTACTATGAAATAAAATAGAAAATGCTTCACAAAAACGTAATTTATATACATGGTTAATGGGAGACTTGCTACCTTACAAAAACATAGCTGGTGTGGCCTCGGTTCCCCTTAATGTTTTCTGGATAAAGGGAGGGAAGCACTTAAGAACACGAGCCCTACCCAGTTATTTGCCTAGAAAATGTTTACTACAATGCTATGTTTTCCTAATTAAGGGAGTGAGAAACATCGAACTCCCTACCCCCCCCCCCCCCCCACACACACACACACACACCTCGTTTTCGCCTATAAAAATGTATGCGGAAAAATGCAATATTTGCTCACGCATTTTTTTTTTAATTGATTAAATAGACATTTTATGCCCCTGATGAAATCTGCATGCCTGGCTCTCTGTCACACCTTTACGCCTACCGATTTGGCCAAAGATGCTGAGTCCTGCCTGTTGCTATGAGTTTCTTCGCGAAATGCAACTCGTATGCCACATGGGCTTAACTGAGTTCTCCTTGTCCGCCACATAGTCCGCGCACGTATTGCCTCGAAAACCTGCATAGCCAGGCACAAAGATAAAGGTTAAGATTGTTATTCGCGATGCAATTAATCAGAAAATCTATTCTTGTCTGATGAGGCCGGTCTAAATATTCTTGAACATATTCAATGAATCACACTGTATGCACGCAGTTGTTAATTCTTGAGTTTAGAGCGAAACAAAAATTGTCGCTATTTATAATCGGGAGTTTCTATATGTATTTACACCCTATATACCGCCAATTACACAAATTTGTGTAGGGGACAAAGCTCTAATTGTAATTTTTTCCCCTTTAAAATTTATCTTAAAAAAATAAAACAGTTTGCGACTACTGCATTTGTTACGTGGCTCTAAATCACTTCAAATCCCACAAATTTTATCCCTAAAAAAGTGAGAATTTCGATTCTCTTTTTGTCAGTGTGAGAATGTCAAGTGTATCAGACAAAATGACACTAATTATAAGCGGAGATAGCGAAGAAACAAGGTTTATTTTAAAAGATTTGACACTCCTGTTTGTGGGTGCAATGACTTCCTGTAAATTTAGCGCATTTTATCATACCCTACTATACCATTTGGAGTGCGCCACCAGTAGCTGTCATTTGGGAGTTGCATTTGTTTTCTTGGCTCTTTTCTCTTATACTGTTTTTCTTTCCAACTTATTCTGGCAAACATTATCTCCCCATTGATACTGGAACTAGTTACATGTTAATATCATAAATATGCTGTTGGGAAAGGGCCGAGGGCTTGTTTGACTAGGAATAAATGTTTCTTTTTCTCTTTACAAAATGAAGCAAAATAACCAACTATTAGAGCATCGTCATTAACTTTGGAAATAAAGCTTTAACTGTATACAAATATACCAGTTGACTTATCCTTTGCTGTTGCATATAGATCACCCATGTCTTTCCTTCTTCTAATATACCTGCCAAAACAGCTCTCACATGGACACCAGAGGGAAAGAGAAAACAGGGGCGCCCAAAAACAACATGGAGACGAACGATGGAAAGTGACCTGAGTGCGGCATCTTTGTCATGGAAAACTGCATTGAAGATTGCAAAGGACAGGAAAGCACGGAAAGCCTCATGTGCCACTAGGCATAACGAGAACTGATGATGCTGATGATGTCTTCCCTTTCGTAAAATTTCACTTTAAAAAAAAAAAAAATTCCTATCCAACTCTTATTCACTTTCTCAACAGGATTTGATTTAAATCATGAAATACATCCTGGTCACCGGAGGAGTCATCAGTGGTTTGGGGAAAGGCATCATTGCCAGCAGCATTGGAGCTATCCTCAAGTCACGAGGTATCCGAGTGACATGCATTAAAATCGATCCCTACCTGAACATTGATGCAGGGACATTTTCTCCTTGCGAGCACGGTAAGAACTATTAGCTAGCCGAAATAAAAAAATGAGAGCTGGTCATCTTGTCTGCTGGCAATTGCCAATGTAATTTTGTGTCTGTATAGCTATTTCAATGCATACTAGCAAGTTATGCATACACCAAGTTGTTTCCTCTTGTCACATGAACAAGGGACATCATTGGTTCATTATCTTCCCATGTTTGTCCTTTATATCTTTATTACTCATCTAGGTGATGATGATAATATCCTGAACAGATAAGAGTAATGATGTCTTGAAAGAAACTGACCCACGAAGAGAACTGAGACTGGTTGTGGAGAGATATGACCACCAATGCCACATTGCCTAGACTTTAAGACAAAGACTTTTCTGATTATTATTTTCATTTATAACATTTTGTGTGTCTTTTTGGATGGCAGGGAGTGTCTCTGTGGTTCTGGGACAGGAAAGGAAGGGGAAGGGGGATGTCTTTTTGTGTTTTCCATTTTAGGATCTTTGTAAGATTGTGTTCCTAGTGATGATTTCTAATGTTTATAACTTTTTACTGTGCCTGCTTAATTTATTAACTCTTTCAGTGCCTGTCAGCTGTCTCTTTAACTGCTTTTATCCTCAAGAGTTAAACAGATATTATAGAACAGAAATAATGAAATTAATAATTTAGATACAAAGGTTACTATAGTAACTGACTATGAAAGAAGAAAGGACAAATGTCATGATCAACTGAGCTGTTTGGCGATTAAAATTGTGTCTATGCTCCCAGAGATGTAAACTGAAAATTCAGGAAGTGGAGAGTTGCCACAGAGTGGGCCTTAAGAAGTAACACTTGTGCACCTGGTGGTTTGCCATTACTCTACTTCTATCAACTGTGAATAGCAATTATAGTAAGTGACTAGTTATTGGAATCTCTGACACCAGCTGCCTTATGCATGTGAGAGCTGTTGGATTTTCTTTGAACAGCGATGGTCACTTTGTATATTTTTCACTGGCACAGGAATGGAGCAATTATAGGGTGACCAGTGTTGCAATGATGTTGGTGTCCCAACGGATTGCATGAATAACACTTGTAACTTTTATCTTCTGTGCCATACAAAGAGTGGTTTAAAAAAAAGTGTGGGTGGTTACTGATAAGTTGATATTAGTTACGTGTCCTTTACAGGACATTGCAGAACCAATCCCAGCAATTTTTGTGGCTGTTGCAGTTTGTCAAGGCAAATTTACGTTAGTAGTTTGCCATTGCGAACTGAACAGTCAGCTCTTGATACCACTGTCGAAACCAATGCTAGGTTATCTGCTGCCAAATCGGGTACAACTAGGATTGAACCTGACATTACGAAGTGGGTTGCAATGTTTTAGCCACTGTTGCCAGCTTAAGTCTAGCTTACAAATAAGCCAGATCTGTAAAACGGATGTGCATGCAGAACTCAAGTTCTGGAACAAGTCCAGAAGTCTACGAACATATAGAATGTTCCGCCAGTGTTTACAGCTGGTGAACATGAAGAAAAAGAAGTGAGATGTCATGATTAGTTCCATCTAGAACTTTAGAGAACTTTTTGTAAGATGTGGCTTTTGTTCATTGTAATGTGTCTTTCATCATATTTTACAAGACAGAGACAACTGCTCAACTGTTGATCCAACTCTTTTGAAATGAAAGTGACCTTCTGCAATTGATTCCATTTCCAGGTGAGGTCTTTGTTCTTGATGATGGTGGCGAAGTTGACCTTGATCTGGGCAACTATGAACGTTTCATGGATGTGACCTTGACCCGAAACAACAATATTACATCGGGGAAAATTAATGAGCTTGTAAAAACGAAAGAGAGGAGAGGAGACTATCTTGGGACAACTGTGCAAAGTAATCATTATTTTTAAATATTTCATTAGGGATAATGGATATTACGGTTAAATATATTACTTTTTGTGTTTTTCTAGTACTGAAACATTTTAGGATCTTTGCAAGGTTGTGTTTCCAGTGATGGTTACTAGTCAGCTTCAGCAAAATCTGCATAACAATACTGAGTGATTAGAGATGAAAGTATTCTCTTCATAGTACTAAATTCACTGTGTGGGTTCCTGGGACCCACACCCCCCTTGTGTGTGTGGGGGATGACACAGTGCCCTCTAAATCTGCATGAGAAGCAAGGAACCAACAGTTTGCATACAAATAAACCAGATCTGTAAAAGTGATGTGCACACACAAGTGGACGAATAACCATAATTCTGCCGGAATTTTACAGCTGCTAAGTGTGGAGAAAAGGTTGCACCAAGGTTGATCTCATATGGCCTGATCTACCTCCAAAGTGCAGTCGGTTACCAGCTGAAACATTGGACTGATGGCACCAGCAATGACCACCAGAAATCTTCAGAACTGCATCATAAATTGAAAGCCCTTCATAGAGGGAGGCATACAGCTTCACATGGAGGTCCCGACCTTATGTAAAATGCCGGGAAAGAATTGTGTAATTAGTTGTATGGTTTCATCAGCATCATTGCCATGCTGGAAAGCATAGACTGTCATGTTTCACATCTCAAATGATCACCAGAACCATGGATCAAGTCAGTGTTTTTGCCTCGCCTCAGCCATGTGGGTAAGCCATCCAGGTATTTATCTCTTTGCTGTCAATTATTTCTCGTAACATGTTCAAACAGCACAGACTGCAATGTCTAATTGTTCTAATCAGTTTATAGTTTTCTATTGTCTCGAGGAGACAGAATTGTCCATGCTTCAAAGCATATAACAACTTAGGTTCAGTATAGCACTTTAGCATTTCTTCCTCACTGCAAGTGAAATCTTATTGGTGACAATCCTTTACATCTTGCTAAAGGCCACTTTTGCCATGGCCATTCTGTTTGTGTTTTCAGAGGTAAAGGGAGCTTATTAGTGACTGGCTTTGTTGTATTATCTTCTGTAGCTTCCCTCCTTCTTACTTTGCTTTCCATCCTCCTCCTTTGAAATAGTTTTCTTGGTTCTAATCTTTTCCTGAAATTTGCGATAACATAACTTTAAATGTATTGTTTGGGCTCCCAAGGGAAGGCAGGTAAATGTGCAGAGCAAACTTTTTAAATGTAAATGTAGTAGAGCAGCTCTGATACTGGTGGCAGGTCACGTGGACATTTACGCAGCACATGACAGTCTGTTATCTGTATTTTTCTTGCAGCTATCCCAGATGCCATAGATGTCATTCGAGGCTGGGTGGAAAAAGTGGCAAATACTCCTACTGAAGGGAGTGAGAAGGCTGATGTTTGTATTATTGAGGTATGAGATTCTGCTGAATTTCTTAGAATTAATATGACTAATGGTAATTTTTAGATTTGATTAACTAAAATCAGAGCATCACCAAACAAATGAAAAACACACAGATCAAGGAAACATAGAGATCAGAGAGACAAACACAGACGAGAGAGGCCGAAGATCCTATATTCCATATAAAATAAGCTTATGGGATAGAACAGAATAAAGGAATATACAACACAAAAATAAACAACTGGATGATTATTTGTCAGAATGTTTGAAGCAGTTATTTAGTTGTAGATACTTGAAGAGCTGAGTAAATTGTTCAGAGATTTGAGCAGCTATTGTAAAAAATTGAAGAAAAAAATACTTGCCTAAAAATTCTGTAAGAGTTGTTTCTGGCTTAAAAACAAATTGCTATTGAAATGATATAGTTTCTAATATATTCTTTCTTTTTCTACTCTCAGGTGTCAACATTTTTTTCTTTGATGTAATAACAGACACCAAAGGCAGATCAATTAAAAATAGCAGTAATGACCTGTAGTGTAATTATTAAAATATATATTTCAATAAAATGTCCACCGTTCAATGTTTAAAAAGTATTTCTATATATAAATGATAAAATTTATTTTGATTTTTGTTTGGTTGGTTGGTAACACTATTTATTGGGAACAACATTTTCTTTAAACATTTTTAAATATATTTTTGTCTTCAGCTTGGTGGCACCATTGGAGACATAGAAAACACATCATTTGCAGAAGCTTTAAAAGATTTACAGTGGGACAATAAAAGAAACATGTGTCATGTACATGTAACCCCTATTATAGCAGAGGTATGTACATTATCTAAAATTTTGTTATATTTAGATAGACATTATAAGTTGGGTGTTGACTTTATTGCACTAGGTTTTATACAAACATATAGCTGTCTATTCAAAATAACTAGCCACTTGCTGAGAGTATCACACAAAGTACGAACTATGTGGCTCCAGTGGTGATGCTGGGGATCTCCATAAAAAGAGCACAAAAAGTACAAAAGTAAATTTGTGTATACTAACAAATGTTTTCAGTTTGAACAAAGAAGACACAAACAATAGATTGCACAATTTATTGCCTGGCAAATTTTGCTGTTAACCAAGAGAAAATGGAAATGGCTTGGCCACGTTATGAGAATGAATCATGATATACCTGCCAAAACAGCTCTCACATGGATACCAGAGGGAAAGGGAGAAAAAGGGCACCTCAAAACAACATGGAGACAAACGATGGAAAGTGACCTGGGTGTGGCATCTTTAACATGGAAAACTGCATTGAAGATTGCACAGGACAGGAAAGCATGGAAAGTCCTCTCTGAAGCCTCATGTGCCACTAGGCATAACGAGAACTGATAATGATATTTTGCTGTATCTCATCAGGTGCATACTACAGTAACAATAACATAAAATGAAGCAAATAGATGAATCCTTTACAACTAAAGTACAATTTAAACAACGATCAATCACAGGATGACTGCCTGTTTTTAACCAGGGCAGTCGTAAAGACAGAATCATCTCTTTCTGAATACAGAGTTCTGGGCGCAGGTAACGAATCGCAGAAGCTTTAAGAAATCTCCATTCTGCCATTGGTTGACGTATGAAGGATTTGAAATGCGTTTTTAGTCACCACGTATCCAGATTTTAGAAGATGGCGTGCGATTGCAGAGGAGTGATCTTTGCGGCCAGTATTCTCATTTTGAATGTTATTTTGCATGGCTTTTTCCACCCATACTGGAATGTGCTCAGCGATTGTTCTGCCCACAAAAGCAGCTTCACAGCTACATTTAAATTTGCAGATACAATTTGATTTGGTGTACATCGACACTGGTGGTTTCACCAAGTGCGTTGGCACAACTTCAGTGTCTACAGCCTTTAGCAAACTTTTAGATTACCGGCACTTCCCACTTGGGCTCTTAGATCACATGGGGAGGGAGGGAGGGTAAGAATAGGTCTACTGTCCCCCCACCCCCACGGGAAAGTTGACTAATTAAAAATGTCTCAGTTAACACTGTGTCTGCCTGAGAGGCAAGGAACCAGCATGCATACAAATAAGCCAAATTTATGAAAGAGATGCACATGCAAAGCAAGTTCTGGCAAAGACCAAAGTCCAGAAGAAGACAAACAACCAGAACTTTACTCTGAAGGTTTACTGTCGGTGAATACTAAGAAGATTATATGAGAAGATTATATGAATGGGTGAGTATCCTGCCCTGTAGTAGTATTGTAGTACCCCAGAGATGTCTGCTTATCTCTGATGGATACTTGGCCCATATTCACACCATCAAGAGATTCTGTAAGGTGTTAGAGTCAATGTCACACTGAATCCAACCCTTACAACCTTTGCAGTGCCACAGTAATGATAAAATAAACACATTTTGTTCTCAGTTTGGAAATGAACAGAAAACCAAGCCTGCCCAGGGTAGCTGTAGAAAGGTCATGGAGCTTGGACTTCCTCCAAAAGTGGTAACTTATAGTTTCTTTTTCATCGTTCACACATGTGACAGACATAAATGCATTGTACCTGTCTACAGCTTAGCTACAATATTTGTGCAACACATCAACTTCGTCTGCCAGTTTTTTTTTTGGGGGGGGGGGGGGGGGGGGGGGGGGGTGGGGGGGGGTAGTTTCCCGGTTTGCTTAGTGGGATGTTTAAACAAATGTACTTGTGTGATGACTTTGTTGCTCTTGATTTACTTATGTTGCCCATCCAGGGCAGTCTTACACTGTTTGGTCATCAAGGGGAGGCAGGGGCAGAACACGGGCATTCCTCACCGTCCAAGGAGGCTTCAGTAAATCTAGAGGTGACAATGGCTCTCTGGTATTTGAATCATGTTCTGCACATGAGTGCTTAGCCTCTTCATCCGTATATTGAGCCTTCCATTTATTACGGGTTTGTTGTTATTGCTCGTGGGGGGAAGGGGGGGGGGGGGGGGGGGGGGGGCATCAGTTGGCCAACAAGTGCCAGATGAATTCTGGCCAGCCACCATCTCCACAGTGAGCTTGGTTTTGGCCATTTTCTGAGGCATGGTCTGTAAAAACAGCACCACATTCATAACCCCAAAATCCCCGTGCAGGTTTTGGGGCCCCAATGTGGGGAAAACAAGAATAGACCCACAGCCTGCCTAACAAGCAGGTCGTAGGAGTTGACTAATTGGGCATTTCCTTGGAATTTAAGTAAATCTGTCTGAGGCAAGAAACCAACAGTCTACATGCAAATAAGTCAGACTTGTAAAACAGATGTGCACACAACACTCATTTTCAGGAACAGGGCTAGAGTCCAGAAGTGGATGAACAACTTGAACTTTCCGCTAGAGTTTACAGCCAGTGAATGCCTAGTTATATTGTTGTCAGGCTTTCTCAGCATGTGTCCTATCTAATGCCAGCTTCTATTCTTCACCTCTTGGTCCACTAGAACTTGTTTAGTTTCTCCCAAAGCTCCACATTGGTGTTTCTATTATACCAATTAATTCACCCAATTCTGCGCTGGCACCAATTAGTGTATGTTTGTAGTTTATTTTTAATTGCCTTTGTAGTTCTCCATGTTTCTGCTCCATACAACAGTACTGTAGTTTAGTAGTAGTTTTAATTTCTTTTGACCTCCACAAATTTCCTAGTGCTGTGAAAGCTCCTCTTGCCTTTCGTATTCCTATTTTAATATCACTATCAGTTCCCCCATCTTTATCTACATTACTGCCTAAGGTGTATTGCTCCTCATCTTGGGGTGGGATACCCTTACGACAAAACCACATCCCTATTTGCCTGATTTATTCTCATTATCTTTGTCTTTCCCTTATGGATTTTCAGACTTAGCTGTTGTAATCTCACATCAAGTATAATAAATATAATTTGAATAAAATAAAATAATTAAATATACATGATCCAGTGTGTCCGTATATATGTGTATATGCACATTCATACTTCTTCTGCCTGGATATATCTGTATATAACTGGTTACTATGTTGACTGGGTCATTTACAAAACTATATGTTGAGTTGTTTATATTTTGTATTGAATTTGGTGCTGTATAAGGCCATTTATCTTTTCTTCACCCCCGTTTCCATTAGCTGATCTTGCGAACTATTGAGCCGTTGTGCGAATCAGCAAGAAAGAAGATGTTGCGATATTGTCGTGTTAATCCCCAGCAGGTAAGTGATTGATTTCAGTGACTTCATTTCGTTAATTAAATGGCTTGTTTTCCTAAATTCTGCTGTGATCTTTTGTCTTACTGCTATTGTCTCTCATGGAAATGTTGTTCCCATTTTGAGACTGAGTTATTGCTATGATTGCACCTGGATGGGAGAAAAAAGCTGAAAGGGGGGGGGGGGGGTATGTCCTATTATTTGGAGACTGTTCTACCATCTTGTTAACACTAAAAATCCAAGCTGTGCCTAGTTGAGCGTTGAATGCTGGAATCATTTGATGCAGGATTGTTTTAGTCTATCAGAACATCTTCTTCTTCTTGGCGTTCACCAGCAGTAAACTCTGGCGAAAATTCTGGTAGTTCATCCACCTTTGGACTGCAGTCCTGTTCCAGAACCTGAGTGTTGCATGTGCATCTGTTTTTCAGATCTGACTCATTTGTATGCAGACTGCTGGTTCCTTGCCTCTCAGGAAAATGCACTCTTGACTTCAAATGAAGCTGCCAATTTTTCAACTCATATGCCATGCTTTAGTGTAGGCAGTGGATCTATTCTTTTTTCCCCATTAATAGGGCCCCGGATACCCACACGGGGAAATCATCAGGACATCTGTATTTTAATGTTGTTTTGTTTCCAATAATTTTTCTGGGACCCCATTGAGGGAAAAACAATAGACCCACTGCCTTCCCAACAAGCATGTAATAGTAGGCAATTGGGGACATCTTTTGAATTCAGAGTACATTGACCTGAGAGGCAAGTAGTCAACAATCTGCATACAAATAGGTAAAATGGATGTGCACACACAACACTCAGGTACTGGAACAAGACTAAAGTCCAGAGGCGAATGAGCAACCAGAACTTTCCACAGAGGTTTACAGCTGGTGAATGCAAAGTTTCCATTGTGATTACCTTTTTTTGTCCTGTAGATTTTATCACATGTCATCTAACTTCAAATTTTTTTTTAGTTGCTTGTTAATATTTCAGGTTTCTGCACCACACAGTAAAGCTGTGGTAAATTTACATAAACTACAAATATTCCTCAACTAGTGCATGGGCAGAATAAATTCCAGTTAATACAGAGCTAAGGAAATGAGGCTTGTTTTGGACATTGAGAGAAAACCTGATAAAAGTGTAATCATAATTGTCTTTCATTGAAACACATAGCGTCAGTGGAATAAAAAAACATAGAAGGAAATTGGTGAATGAAGTGAACAGTGTGGAGGTGACAAGGGGTAAGCTACAAACCTAAGGTAGGTTGACAGCGTGAAGTGGTTCAAGGCCTATGCTTCAGTGGGAGATAAAGGGCAGAAAAAGGATGTTAGTTAAAATCTCTTCGAAATATACAAAGCATATCCCCGTGTGGATTCTGGTGCCCTATTATGGGGAAAACAAGAAAAGACCCATTGCCTACCCAAAAGCATGTCGTAAGAGTCGACTGATTGGGAGCTTCCTTTGAAGTTGGAGTAAATCTGCCTGAGATGTAAGGAACCAACAGTCTGCATACAAATTTGTCAGATCTGTGAAATGGTTGCGCATGCAACTCTTAGGTTCTGGAACAAGACTAAAAATCTGGAGGTATACTAATACCCACAACTTTCGGCCAAAGTTTACAGTCTGTGAGAAGGAAGAAGATGATTATAAGCCTAAAATCACCTTGCTAGATGTGAATGTTTGACAATGAAGAATGGAATGGGGAAGAAGCTGGAGTCAGTGATAGGAGTGCTTGAGCAGAGACAAAAAACAAACACTGAAGTACTGAGATCTGCATGAGTTATCACCATATAAGCAACAGCTATTTCATTCATGTTTTCAGTCCCAGACAGGCATTATTTTAACCATTTTATCCTAACTGTGGTCTCCAAGACAGTTATTAAAGCTGTTTGCCTCGTCCTCTGAAGGTTATGGGTTTGTTTCACGGATTTGTTGTTCGGTTCATGTGTGCATTTTTATTGGAGATTCCTGGGGATCATTGCCAGAGATACGGAGTTTATGCTTTGAGTGATGCTCTTGACAGGTGGCTAGCCATTCTGCGGTGAGAGACAGAACCAGTGCAAGTTGATCTTTAACCTGTAACAGTTTACTATATCGAACATTCTCTTATTTAAAGTAAGATATTTCTGGAGCTGAAAAGGTTTGATTAATATCACGTGATAAAATGTCTTACAGTAACCATTGGAAAAGAATAAGCTAATCAACCGGACTGATGGAGAGTAAGGAGTTAAGTAAAGCATATTCTGCAAAAAGTAAACAGTAAATGTTGCACTGCCTAATATATTTGGAATTTGGAAATGACAGAAAGCATTGTCAGTATTTGGCAGTATATATTTTTATCAGCAACAGCAGTCTCATACATAAATATGATAGAGTACTGCCAATGTTTTAAAAAATAAACTTTATTCTAAAGGTGTTAATGGTAGACTTAATAGATTTCACTACCGACGGTCAGCCTATGGATCATGCTGATTTTATTAATGCCCTCAGAAATTGGAAGGATAGAGGACTTTGGGGGCAGTGAATCCACATCACTCGCTAGAATGGCAGACTTGGGAATTAAGATTGGCATAGCAAAAAAGGAGACGCATACCAGACTTGTTAATCAAGATAGAACTGGTACTATTAGCCATTAGATGTTGGGATTCATACTGAGGGGAGGATCTGAGCACCTATGGACATGTCTGGAGTGCAATGATGATAACCTAACTAACTAACTAAATTAATAGATGTGTTTTCACTGAAGATGTGTTTGATTTCAGAATGTTTTGACAGTTTAATCTTGTAGTGATTGTATTTATTCAGGTGTACAATGTACCCAATGTGCGTCTGATCTATCAAGTGCCACTGCTGATGCAGTCCCAGGGAATAGATGAGTTTCTTATCAAGCGCTTAAATTTGGAAACTGTTGATGTCACTGCCCATCATCCCATGGCAATGTGGAAAGAGCTAGTGGACAGGTGGGTTGGAGTATGTCTATCTGTTATCAAATGAGCAATGCCTTGATTATGTTTACATGTAGAATTACAAAACAGTTCTGTCTTTTTTTACTGTTTACCAGGGAGTGGTGGTAGTTAGATATCTAGATCTGGACTTTAGTGTTGTGTGCACATCCATAATGCTTACATATGCAAACTTCCACAATGGATTAAACAGTATATGACAAAAACAGGGGTTGGCATATGAGATGTCTTGAGACAAAATAATGGTATCTTAGATCACTTCAAATGTCCGTAAAGACAGACTGCACAAATACAGTTGCTATCATTGTTTGACAGAACATTTAAAATATATCGACTGTGACAATGTATACTCCTACAATCATATACAAATAATACATAACTGGTAGACATTAAATATCCATTATCAAATCAAAACAAACAAACAAAAATAACTCTATCCCAATTATAACCTGGATGGAGTGAACAGGATATTGTTGCTTAAGTTACTACTATTATTTTCCTAGACTTCCAGGCAGATGAACTCAATCATCACAAGATACATTGATCCTATCTATGTTGGTGAAGTCTCCCATCACAGGATACATTGATCCTATCTATGTTGGTGAAGTCTCCCATCACAGGATACATTGATCCTATCTATGTTGGTGAAGTCTCCCATCACAGGATACATTGATCCTATCTATGTTGGTGAAGTCTCCTGAAGAAAACCTGTTTATAGAGTGACCACTTGAAAAAGTGGAAATAGATCTTGTTCAATTCAGGCCCTGGTACTGGAGCCCCACCTCAGGCGTTGGTGAACCTCTACGTCCCCATTATAGTTTAATTTCATGATATGTTTACACTGGTCCAACCTATGAGGGTTTATTAATGGCTGTCATGGGAGATGGTAACTGGTTGTCTGTTTTAAGGAACTCGACCCCCTAATAGGATGATGGTAATTGGCTGACTGGTAGATGTAAGGTAGGTAATTGTCATTAGCTGACATCAGCTCTAGTAGGGTGAAGGTGATTAGCTGACTGGTGATGTTTAAAGAGCGATGACTTCAATAGTGGGGACATTTTTTAGCTGACTGGTGATGTTTAAAGAGCGATGACTTCAATAGTGGGGACATTTTTTAGATGACTGGTGATGTTAAAAGAGCGATGACTTCAATAGTGGGGACATTTTTTAGCTGACTGGTGATGTTAAAAGAGCGATGACTTCAATAGTGGGGACATTTTTTAGCTGACTGGTGATGTTTAAAAAGCGATGACTTCAATAGTGGGGACATTTTTTAGCTGACTGGTGATGTTAAAAGAGCGTTGACTTCAATAGTGGGGACATTTTTTAGCTGACTGGTGATGTTTAAAGAGCGATGACTTCAATAGTGGGGACATTTTTTAGCTGACTGGTGATGTTTAAAGAGCGATGACTTCAATAGTGGGGACATTTTTTAGCTGACTGGTGATGTTTAAAGAGCGATGACTTCAATAGTGGGGACATTTTTTAGCTGACTGGTGATGTTTAAAGAGCGATGACTTCAATAGTGGGGACATTTTTTAGCTGACTGGTGATGTTTAAAGAGCGATGACTTCAATAGTGGGGACATTTTTTAGCTGACTGTTGATGTTTAAAGAGCGATGACTTCAATAGTGGGGACATTTTTTAGCTGACTGGTGATGTTTAAAGAGCGATGACTTCAATAGTGGGGACATTTTTTAGCTGACTGGTGATGTTTAAAGAGCGATGACTTCAATAGTGGGGACATTTTTTAGCTGACTGGTGATGTTTAAAGAGCGATGACTTCAATAGTGGGGACATTTTTTAGATGACTGGTGATGTTTAAAGAGCGATGACTTCAATAGTGGGGACATTTTTTAGCTGACTGGTGATGTTTAAAGAGCGATGACTTCAATAGTGGGGACATTTTTTAGCTGACTGGTGTTTTAAAATAACAACAGTGAAGAGTATTGATTATTATTATTTTAGGACTGTTACTTGTAGCAGGGTGAAAGTATCATGGTTTTGGTTACAACAGACATGACCGACCGTTGAATGAAGTCCGCATTGTTTTGGTTGGAAAATACACAGAAATGTTGGATGCATATCTATCTGTCATCAAAGCCCTGCAGTATGCCTCTTTGGCCATCAACCGTAGACTTAATCTCAAGGTCAGTACAATATTATCTGTTTAAATGATCTCTGTATTTAACATTTGTTTTCATTATGTATGTTTTCATTATCTCCAAAGCTCTGCTTGTTAGAGTCACAAGTATTCTAATTATTGAATGTACCACCTTCTTGTCATAAGTAGAAATGTAAGAGGGGACGTTCAAAGTGTTATATTGTGTTATGTAGAAGCATGGGAATCACAGCCCATGGGTATATCAGGTGACCAGCAACACCCGACAACGTTAAAAAAAAGTCTCTCACAATTGGAGCATGCAATTTCTGATCATTGTTGCCATCACATGTATTAGTGTGCTTCTTCTGAGATGCTCTGCTCTCAACCTGTCTGCAATAATTTTATTTGCAGCAATGTTTTCTTTCATTCCCAGATTCTTTTTGAATGTCCTCCTCCACACCAAATGGTCCATGGCATTTACTTCCCATGATTCTAATGGAATACCTGTATCATTCTTGTCCTGCTTGCACACATCTGTATATCACAGTAGAGGCCAACCTCAACTTTCATCCATCTGTAGTTCACCATAGAGAATGTTCATAGGGAATCTACCATCCTATAAGTGTAACCCAGGCATCTGAGCCTCTGAAGACTGGGCAGTAAGAAAACTGTTGTGATAATAACTAGGGCTGTACCGAATATTCGCTTCGTATTCACTTCGGGGCTGAATAGTGGACCTATTGACTATTCGGTATTCGGCCGAATAGTTGCGGTCGGACCAAATACGAATAGTGGGTACCTTACACCCGCTTCTGCATACACGGCCTTAATGCTGACAGCATGGAATGATTGGTTTTGTTGAAAGCTAATGTAGCTTTCCTGCATTAACTAAGCTGTCAGTGACAATTTCCAAGTTTTGTTACTTTTTATAATAATTAGGATTCTTTCATTCCTAGTTATTAGTTACCACAGACTGAATGAAGTATGCAAAACATAAAATTATGTACGAATACTAACTAGACATGGAAAGAATATAAACTCCTGCCACATCCAAGTCGATAAAATGAAAATCAAACGAACGGAAACGTATAAGTACTTGGGTGCAAACTTCAACTGCTCGAACATGCTGAGAGAGGAAATACAATCTAGAATACAATCTAGAAATAAAGTATACTATGCCCTTCAACATCTGCTAAAGTCAAAGTGTCTGTCTCGCAACACCAAGATCAAAATATATAAAACGTTGATAAGACTAGTTGTTTTATGTGGCCGTGAAACTTAAAGCGGAAATAAAAGAGATGAGGCCTTATTACAGGTTTTCGAAAACAGTCTTATGACAAATCTTTAGACCCATCAAAGATGCTAACAGCGGGGAATGGATAGTGAGAAGCAACAATGAAACACATAATCTTTTTAAAACACCATTGATCACTGGCATCCTGAGAGCTAACAGACTAAAATGGTTGGGGCATTTTGAAAAAATGTCAGATGACAGAGAAGTAATACTGTATACACCTGAGAGTGGAAGGGGCGTAGACCACAAGGCAGACATAAAAGAAGGTGGAGAGATATTGTCCAGCCAGACCTGCAAATAACTGGTGTCACAAATTGTGAAGAGAAGGCCAGCCAGAGAGGACAAGTGATATCTGCAGTAAACCCCAAGGGTTCAGAATGCCAAAGAAGAAAATGACTATTCTGTGCTACTTTTTGTGAAATAAAAGTTTGACATTATGAATGTTTTTTTTAAATATTTTATACCCTATAGACTATGCGTATTTGTATTCGGCCGAATAGTTGGTCCCATTATTCGTATTCGGCCGAATAGTGAAAATCACTATTCGGTACAGCCCTAATAATAACCCTTAACTGCTGCCTCTAGATTTGTTTCCTAGGCCAATTGAGATCCTGGATAAGGTTCCTTCTCTTCACAGCACAGAGCCTGAGCAGTATTGTAGAGACCATGTGTTGCTCTTCCATCATGATCCCTCGCTTGGCCTGCCTTGTTTACTCTAAAGAAAGGTAACACCAGTACATTTGGAATAAAGCAGCCTGCAGAAGCTGTTGGATAAGAAGAGCAGTTGTCCATCTGTCCGCTTATTGAAGCTTCCCACCTAGACCAGCTGCCAGTCAAGGCTAAGGGCCGGAGATGGATATAAGAAACTAATGTGTGGCTAGAAGCTACCAGTGTGGTAACTAATAGCTGGGAATCTCTTGAGGCCATTAAAATATCATGAGAAATATATCCACAGATATTGAGTGAAAACCTATTTATAGAAACAGGAAAGAAATAGGATTAGAATCATTGCTGTTTTATGTCTTAAATGCTTTCTTGCCTAGGGTGTCATTGCTAATCACATATAAAGCTCTGGCATCTCCATAGCAAGATGATTAAGCCAATAACCTTACACTTTGAAGCTGTTGCTGCAGCTGGAGAGTTCATCTTTGTGCACCACTCCTGGTAGATAACAGCCACTATGCAGAAAGAGAACACGAGCTATATGAGATAAACACAGGTAGAAAGAAATCTATCCTCCTGCCTTTGAACACCCTTTCAATACCAGGGGTCTCCATGGCAATGTGTTCAATCTGCTCTGGTGGTCATAGGTTCACTTCAGGTTGGCAGTGTTTAGTTCACTTGTGCAGTTTGTATGGAGATTCAATGGGATCCATGCTAAAGCTACCGTTTGTGCTTTATGTGACTATTAGGTAGGCAGCGAACCATTGTATGGAGAGAGATCAATGTGTATGGGATTAAACCCTGTGCATTGAAGTCACCATCCTCTCTACTTTAACTTTAACCATTTTAATATAGATCTCTGAACAGATTTCTGAAAAAAATTTAATCGTGTAATTTTATTTATATTATTTATGTGTGTCGTTTCTTCCATAGTGTATAAATGCCAGTGATTTAGAGCCAGCAACTCTTAAAGAGGACCAGGAGAGGTATCACACAGCTTGGAAAGAAGTCACTGAGTCCAGGTGTGTAAGATTATACTGATAGGAAATTGACTGATGGTCAAATGTAAGTTGGAGAAGAAATGAGGCATGATAAGGCTCAAGTCATAATGGAAGTTTCAGACAGTCTGAATCACAAAACAAAATATTTAGATTAGAAAGTTTGGCAGTAAATGTGACAGAAGGTTGTGAACATAAGTGATAACTAGTAGCATGAGATGAAAGAAGTCTGGTATAGTGTAGGGAAGAAGGAGTATCTCATGGAGAGATGAGATGATTAGATTCATATGGGTCATACTGTAAGATCTAGAAAGCCATTTTAACTCTTTCAGCACCAACTTAACATACTTGCCTAGATAACTCTAGACACCTTATACATTTCAGAACTCCTCCTCTTCCCATTACTCTGTTTCTTCCCGTCTTTCTTTAAATGCTTATGTCTCATCAGTTATCAGTTGAACTCATTAATTAGTGTCATGTTAGCAACTTTTTTGGCCGCAAGCTGATTTTTATTTAACTCATTCTGTCCCGTTGGCTCTGTGGCTAAGTTGATGCGAACGCTTTGTATTGCTGGGATGCCGGGTTCGATCCCAGCTGCGGGCCATGAGCCTTGCGTTGGTTTCGACAGTGGTATCAAGAAAGCCGACCATCCAGAAAGCAATGGCAAACTACTGGATGTAAATTTGCTTAGAGAAAGCACACAACAGCCAGGGGCTGTTAGGGTTGGTTCTGCAACGTCCTGTAAAGGATACGCAACTAACCAGAACCATTCTGTCACATGGACTTGAGCTTCCAAACAATAAATACTTAGGTTTGAAGAAGCTGACATGGGACAAAAACAGTTACAGTAATTCAGATATATTGGGGCTGTGTGGTCTCAAGGCATAGTGTACGCCTCAAGTGCTGGAGGTCTAGGGTTCAGGCCCCAGTGAACGCTGGATTTTTTCACGCGGACTTCTAGTAATTTCCCCTGGTCTCTGGGTAGTAAGATCGGATGCCCGTGTGTATTGCTGCACACATAAAAATCCTTAGCAGTTGGAAATCAAAGAGTAGCCTAACGGTGCTGCCCGGGCAAAAATATGGAGTTAAAAATCTACCCAAAGTATTTCAGGATCCTCGCCGGTGCTATGGAGTTCATGCACTACGCTGAGATTCTTTGGACTCAGGCTTGAGTTAGAAGTAGAAAGGAGCACTTATGGGTCACTACCCTTGTGCCATGATGTTGACCCATTATTTAAACCTAAAACCAAAGATATAAAAAGTGAATATAACAACAGTCAGAACATTATATTAAATTGCAGTGGCAGGAAAAATAAAACCTGATGCATTGGTTGGCATTAAAAGAGTATTAACAAATGTAAAAGAAAAAATGAAGTTGGTGTGTGTCTTGAATTCTCTTCTGGTCTAGTGTAATATTCTACGCTAACTGGTTTGGACAAATGACTAAAAGGAAAATATGCCTTGCAGAGCCTCCAACTTTCAACCCCCCCCCCCCCCCCCACCCCACTTTACCCCAAAACCAAAACACACACATAACTGACATGAGATCATATTGTCATGCCTATAGCATATTGATTGCCTTGCCTAGCATATAGCATGTACACCTATTGCAGACAATATGTTGTAACGTGTAATGCTGAGCTCAAGCGGGAGACCTGGGTTTGAATCCTCTGTAAGGCTGGGGATTTCTTTCTGTCAGGGGAAAAATAAAATCCCCACTTGCACTGTCATGGCTAGCCATGCGGCCTCAAATCCACAGACCCAAAGACCCCCCATGCCTACACTGCAAAAGTGGTATGATAAAGGCAGTTATTGAAACAAAAAACAAAACAAAATCATTACTTCATAAATTTACATTGTCTGTGCACTTTGTCTATGAACATGACTGAACATCTATGTACCCACCATGAAATTATTACTTTGCGTTTAACATTCAAACACAATTTGTATACTTAATATGTAAAATAGGACTTCTCCACATGTCATATTAAAATAACTTGTGCACTAAACATGTAAACATGGCCTAATATGTAAACTTCTTCTTCCGCTTCTTTTGTCGTGTCACTGAGGTTATAGCCCAGTGTCATGGTTTTCTACATTTGTGTTCTCAGGTAGCTTGGGTGATGGATTTGTTTATCCTTTTACAGGTTTCCTCTACATCATTTATCCATATCTTTTTTGGTGTTCACCTTGCCTCCCTTTTAGATGTTCTGCTGTAAAAAAAAAAAAAATCACATATGCAGTTTGGTCTGGCTGCATTCTCACTAGATAGTTAAACCATTTCATTCACTCAGTGATTCAATTGAACATGATCCAGAGGGTTCAGGCAGGTTCTGTGTGAAGGCAATGACTTGAAACATTACAGAAGTCCACTGTGCATGGAGTCACCTTTATTTTTGTTCTGGGATATGCGGGCTGTCAACCTATGGATCATGCTGACATTATTAATGCCCTCCTAGAAATGGGAAGGTTGGAGGACTTTGGGGCAAGTGAATCCACATCACTCATCAGAATGATAGACTTGGGAGTTGAGACTGGCATAGCAAAAAACGAGACACACACCAGGCACATCAGAGGACTTGTTAATCTACATAGAACAGGTACTATAGCCATCGGACGTTGGGGTTTATACTGAGGGAAGGATCTGAGCACCTACGGACATGTCCGGAGTGCAATGATGATAACCCAACTTACTAACTATTTGTCTTTATCTGTCAGTTTAATTCAGATACAGTCTTTTTCTAACTTTCTAATACTGGTATTTATAACCATGACCTGATAGGTGGTAATGTATGGACATGAGCTAAACATTAAACATGGTTGCATACAACTACTTCTTCTACACAGTGGTATGATTGTTCCTGGAGGTTTTGGCGACCGAGGAACTGAAGGAAAGATCTTGGCTTGCAAGTGGGCCCGAACTAACAACCTCCCATTCTTGGGTAAGAATCTTCCCTACAGCATAGACAATTTCAGTAACATATTACATTTTGACATTGTAAATCAGAATGTATAAATCATCTTTTATCTGACTGTAAATCTGATAACTCAATTTGTTAAGTTACTTTTAATTTCAGCATTCTTAATAACATGAAGAAAGTAATATCTTATAATACAGTTACATTTTTACACTTTATATAGTCTGTGGAGTGTCCAAACGTATATTTAGTATCTATTCTGAGCACTACTGTAATGGACAATTTGCTGATTATATGGAAGCTGCTGAAATGTTGCTTTTTAGATAAAAGAAGAGAAGATCACAGATAGATAAAAACAAAATTGAATTATATCTTAGAAGAAATTAACTAACAAAGATAAGTGATTACTCCCCGTTTTCCGGTGCCCCACTGTGGAGAAAGCAAGAATAGACCCACTGTATCCCCATCAAGCATGTCATAAGTTTAACTAACTGGAGGCTTCCTAAGAAGTCGGAGTGCATCTGTCTGAGAGGCAAGGAACCAACAATCTGCATACAAATAAGTCAGATCTGTAAAACAAATGTGCATGGAACACTCAGGTTCTGAAACAAGACAAAAGTACAGAAGTGAACAAACAACTAGAACTGTATCCAGGAGTTTACAGCCAATGAATAATAAGAAGAAGTGATTACCTGCAACAGAATGGTAAAACTTGAGTATATCAGGATGGTGGGGAATGAGGCAAAGGGAGATACATAGATAAGATGCTTGTTAGTTTGTCATCATGGCATGAGGAATATATTTGTCAGAAATGACTAAAAGTATACATGAAGCCCTGGTTATGGATTGTCTATACTAAAAATGGCCATCTGAAACAGTTATTTTGTGTATTTTCATTTATGCTATTATGATTTAGTAAGTGCCATAGTTTTTTTTTTTACCTGTATGCCTTCTTACACCCCCCCCCCCCCTAAATCTAGGTGTGTGTCTGGGGCTGCAATGTGCTGTCATCGAATTTGCACGCAATGTCCTGAACTGGCAAGGTGCAAATTCCACAGAGTTTGATGCGGCTACAAAACATCCAGTGGTATGTGTTTTAGATAGATGGTGGTAATTTTTGTTTTTGTTTCCTCGTTTTCACTATGTGATGAAAACCATAAAATAGGAAGATAACAGAAGGCCAAACTCTGTATATCTTCTTCTTTCTCTCTGTGTTCACTGAAATAAACTCCAGCAGAAAGCTCTGGTTGTCCACCTCTGGACCTTAATCTTGTTCCCGAACCTTAATGTTGTGTGCACACCCGCTTGACAGATCTGAGTATGTGCAAGGAGATTATTGGTTCCTTAACCTCTCAGGCAGATGTACACCAATTGTGAAGGAAGCCCCCAGAGTTCCATCAGTGTATCTAAAATCATATTCTGTAAAGGATAAGCGAATAACAGCAAAAAAAAAAAGTGTGAGAAAAAAGTATTTGGCATAATGAGAATGTCTCTGAGTGGAGAACATTGTTCAGTAAAGTAAGAGACATCTGATTATCAAAGAAACTTTTGGTGAAATGAGAATCAAATCTGACTGTAAGTGATATGGGCTTGTTACAGTAATGACGACATCACACTGGCAAGGAAATGTGTTATTTGCAGTAAGAAACACATCTGAATTCAAGAGATACTATAAGAAAAAACGTCCATATTTATGAGGAAAAATTGCTTAATAATTGTTTAAAATTAGCCACACATCCTTAATAGGGCACTGTAAACCAACGCTAGCATTTGTTGGGTGTTTGTAGTTTTACTATTTTATTAAGGCAAGATAACTTACATTAAATAATTTAATTAAAATTGGAAAAAAATTCTTGTTTTTCAGGTTATAGAAATGCCAGAACATAATCAAGGTCAAATGGGTGGAACAATGCGACTAGGCAAGCGGAAAACAAAGTTCACAACAGAGACAAGCATTTTACGTTAGTGTTGTTTCATAGATTTTTGTACTGGCATTACTTTTTATAACATGCTAATTAACTTTTTCTGATAAAACTTTATAATAACAATCAGCAATACACTGGTCAACCAGGTCAATGGATAAGCAACTAGGACACAGAAGATTTGCTGAAACAAATAGAAAATAAAAAAGACACCTGCAATATTTCTTCTTCTTAAAGTCCACGCTGTGTGGCATCGGTAGTCTTGTCTATCCACAACCTTCTGTCTCATATGCTTTCAGTCAAATCTGACACAGATTATCCTCCATGCCTTGATGTCAAACTGCTTAGCCACTTTTCTCACGGTCTCCCTCTGCCTTACTTCCCCTCCAACTTTCCTACTGTCACGATGTATTCCAGTTTTCTCCTTCTTATCACATGACCAAAGAATTTTGTCTCTTTCTGATGTCATGTTGGCAGTTAGTTCTTTTCATGAGATTCTTTCAAGACATCTTCACTACTACTTTTATCTGTCCATTGTATTCTCATCATTCACCCATAAAACCACATTTCCGCAGATTCCAAATAATTTTTCACTCATCTACCAACTGTCCATGATTTACTTTCGGATATCAGGATAGGATTTATACTTGTAAAGCTTTTAAGAATTCCTTCTCATCTTAGTTGACAAAGATTGCATAGACTATTCTTCTTGTAAAATGCTGCCTTTGCTTAAGCTATTCTACAGTTAACTTCTTTAATGCATCTTCTGACTGATGTTATCAGGGAAACCGAGTACTTAAAGATATCAGCTTGCTTGAGGTTTGTCCTTATAACTTTGATGTTACATTTTAGACGGTCAGTTTTATTAGTAATTACCATTACTTATGTTTTTCTGCGGTTCAAACTAATATTTGACATTTTTCACTCGCATGAAAAGACCTAGCATGGGAAGGAAAGGTCCTCTCGTAAGGCACATTACTTAAAAATTTGTGTTAGTATACCTCATATAGTGAAGCTCATAGAGGAATCCTTTTAACTGAAATCATGACAGTGATCATCATCTGTGGACATGCTCTGTACAGAACATTTTGCTCTCATCATGGCTAGTCTTTCTTTCTCTACCCAATTCTCCAGCCCTATGCGCTTTTATCTTCAATCCCCTGTTTCCATATTTTTAGAGGTCGGCTTCTGTCTCGATTTCTGGAAATTGTACCATCCATCGCCATTCTCTACAGGCCATCATGTCTTTTAGCACAGCAGAAATACCTCAGCTTTCTTAACAGGATACTGTTTATCAGTCATTCTCCTTGATGTCCAGATCATGTGGGATATCAGTGTTTTTCTTCTTGAAGTACACTAACCTGACTTTTTTTGTTGCACCACACAGCCCAGCATAGAAGTCTAGAATTAAAAACATAATACTATTATTTACATAACACCAGACTGCTCATTCCATTCATCACTGCTTCTGCTGATTTCAGTGAGCACCTGTTCATTGTGTGATAAATAGCAGTAGTCATGCAACTGACAGTCAGCAGAATATGCCCAGCAATAGATTGTGCAGGGTATTGCTTTTGTCCTCAGTATCTAAATTCATTTTGTAAAAATGTTGTAATTTCTGAAATGAAATGTGCTGACATTATCTTTCTAACAGGTAGACTGTACAATAAGCAGGAGTTTGTAGAAGAGAGACATCGACACAGATATGAGGTAAACATTCTTACTTACATGGGACAGCGGTCTGGTATAAGCACAGAGAGACTGAGATAATAATTGATTACATAGATCAGTGTGTTTGGGTAGAATTGTCAGGAAATGCAAATGTAGAAGTTCTATGGTATATGAATGTTGTAAATACGAGTGAAATCATGTTTTTCTGTGCTGGGGCAGTCTTCTCATATGTCACTTTATATTCTAATTACTGTAGAGCCATATGTCAAACCTTAAGCCAGTAGGAGATGCCTAGCTTTTCAGTTTTCATGTGGTTCATTACTGATTGCTGTACAGCACCACTATTAAGCCTGCTCCGTCTTTTCCTTGGAAAATTATCTAATTCGTAGTTTGGAGATCTGAGCCCTGCAAGGATTAATGTTTAGCACACTGTTGACTTTTTTAAATATTGTCATTCTCAGTTGTTTTAGCTTGTAGTTTTGTCCATTGATAAAGACTGGTCAGAATATCTGGTTGTATTTTTGCACAACAGCATCACAGATTAGGGTACTCACTTACCCTGGCAATCTAAAAGATTGCCGCCGAACGTTGAGATGCTCAGCCAAGTGGATGTAGAAAGCAAGGGTAGACTACCACATTATATATCCCTAGAAACTCTTAAACGGAAGCCATAAAATGAACCCACCAGCAGACTATATACAAGCTGGGGGAGGGGGGGGGTATATATCATGCACTGTGTGTGAAAATCTGAAACAGTGCTGACTAGCCTGAATCATGTCTGACAACTATCAGTTGTTATTACACACCTGCCAATTTTAGGATAATTTTAGCTACAGATCATCATCAGAACAAATTGTGTTCAGTTATTTCTCACTGTTGTTGGTTGTAATCGTAGTGTAGTCATCACTTCTTCTTTGCATTCTGTACATAATAAATGAGAACAAAACTTGTTAATCAGAGTAAAGAATATTTGTTCCTGCTATTTAATGTAACTTTTTGTTTCAGGTGAACCCAGACATGGTGTCTGCTTTTGAGAAAAAAGGAATGAAGTTCACAGGCCGGAGTGAGGATGGAGAAAGAATGGAGATTATGGAGTTGGAAGGCAAATTTTACTTTTTATTTTTATTTCCTTATAAAACTATATCTAACTGATAACTTGATTTATTCGAGTCTTGTTGACTTTTATGGTGATTTTTGTGTGCTACTGTTTTGCTCCTTTGATGACAATTAGACATCTGATATGTGTATTCAATTGTTCTTTATTCAATATTATTTGTTTGGTTGTAGAGGCTAGCAGCATAGTGTGCACAGTTTCTTTTAAAGTCTTTTTTGTGTCCCATTTAAGAAGAGGTATCAAAGTATCTTGTTTTGCTTTTTACTTTCTATCACTGAAGTAGATATATCTGGTTATACTTGACCATCCATGTGGGAGTTCCAGGAACCCACTGTGGAGAGTGTGAGAATAGATCCACTGCCCTTTAACAAACATATTGTACTCCTGATTAAAAGTTTCCTGACATCAGATGTGTTGTGCCAAAATTTGCTCATACTGCAGCCTAACTGTAAACCCCAAGAGTGTTTTAAGGGTGAATGGAGAAGAAGCTTTACATTTAGTTACAAACACGGATACACAAACTGACTCACACATGAATACACAGGCCCATAAATGTACAAAGGAGACTTGTCTCCCACAGCTTTTTTGTTGCTGCTTGTTTAAAAAAGCATTTAGTAATTAATTATGATGATCTTCCGTTGTTCTAGGTCACCAATATTATGTGGCAGTCCAATTCCACCCGGAATTTACCTCGCGGCCAACAAAGCCCTCACCACCATTCCTCGGCCTTCTCCTTGCTGCCTCCAACATGATGAGACCCTATCTGGATGGTGACTTCCAGCCCACACCCCTGATGCCCCCATCTGAGGAGGCTCCAAAGAACGGCCCTGTGAATGGCACAGAGGATCATCCCCTGATGCCCCCATCTGAGGAGGCTCCAAAGAACGGCCCTGTGAATGGCACAGAGGATCATATGAAGGATAGCACACCAGAACAGTCTGTCAAATCAGATTAAACATTGCCTACTTTTGCTGAAAAGCCTAATCTCATTATTTTTTTGAATGTGTGGAAGAACGTTTGCAGTGCGACAAAGCAACAGTAAATATGTTTGCAGTGAGAAAAAAGCAACAGTATATATGTTTGCAGTGAGAAAAATGCAACAGTAAATATGTTTGCAGTGAGAAAAATGCAACAGTAAATATGTTTGCAGTGAGAAAAAGCAACAGTAAATATGTTTGCAGTGAGAAAAAAGCAACAGTAAATATGTTTGCAGTGAGAAAAATGCAACAGAAAATATGTTTGCAGTGAGAAAAAGCAACAGCAAATATGTTTTCAGTGAGAAAAAACAACAGTAAATATGTTTGCAGTGAGAAAAAAACAAGTCAATATGTTTGCAGTGAGAAAAAACAACAGCAAATATGTTTGCAGTGAGAAAAAACAACAGTAAATATGTTTGCAGTGAGAAAAATGCAACAGTAAATATGTTTGCAGTGAGAAAAATGCAACAGTAAATATGTTTGCAGTGAGAAAAAGCAACAGCAAATATGTTTGCAGTGAGACAAAACAACAGTAAATTTTTACAGTGAGACAAAAACAAGTCAATATGTTTGCAGTGAGACAAAAACAAGTCAATATGTTTGCAGTGAAAAAAAAAAAACAACAGTAAATATGTTTGCAGTGAGAAAAAAACAACAGTCAGTATGTTTGCAGTGAGAAAAAAACAACAGTAAATACGTTTGCTTTGAGAAAAAAAAAAGTAAAGTGCTATTTAGAATCTGTATTATTGTATGCATGTGAGGCATGTGCAACAATAGACAAGCCACACAAAAACCTACTGTCAGCGGAAAGTTTCTTCATTGTTGAAAACATCATGTAAAAAAAAGGCCATCTTTTTGAGTTTCCATCAACTCATTAAAGAAATGACAATAGTCATTCTGCCATCTGAGTAATGGATCACATTTTCTTCCCACACTCTTTAACTCTTTTTTTGAGTCCTAAGGAACGCATCATACATTCACAGGTTCCTACCTAGAAGCCCAATTAACTGCGACTCAGAGAGTTAACGACCAAAGTGGAAAGGGGTGATGATGATCAATATAATGCAATGAGCTTCAAATGATTTATCTATCATCATCCTCCAAAATTTTACTCTTAAAATGGCTGTAAACAGGAATGTATGAGTGTGAGCTAATGACCATATTTCCAGCTATAATTTATATTAACACTAGGTTGCCAGTGCCAAACATGTACGCTGCAAACATCTGTTAAATCAAGACAAATTAGCCAAGGTGCCTGAAGAAAGTTGTCTAAATAACCACTCGAAACCAAGTGAGAAACGAAACTGTTAGATTTTGGGAAGAAAACCTTGTACCAAATATATAGGCCTAAGGAGCAGATAAAATATCTTTGGTATATTGTTCAAATTCATTAATATTAGTTACCACAGCAGGCACTGAATCTATGAAGATCTGATAGGAGAGGGCATCCCAGCAATGATAATGAATGCAGATTCAAGTCATTGACAAGAAATGAGAATATTCACTGCTATCAAATGCTGACCTTCAAGTACTCCTCCCCACGCCACAGAACAAAGTAGAAGTTGAAGTCGAGGGGATCGGCTCGATTGCATTGGGTTTTTATCCTGTAAGGCCATGTTTCCGTAGAACGGCTATCCGCCTGTGGGAGGGTGGCACAGAGCCAGAATTGAAATGAAACCTCTACATTCAAACAAATCATGGGCAAACTGCTTGACCACTTCAAAACAGGAACACTCTTCCCCCCCCCCCCCCCCCAATCCCAAAAGCGAAAGGAAAAAAGGAAAGATGTTGAAGACGATGATAATGACGACAGTGAGTGTTTCCTCAAAATTTTCAAGCTGGGATCCAGTCACGGTTCAGAATTCAGAATGTTCTATTGTCCATTGATCTATTTCAAAGAGATGAGATCCTCGGCCAAGTAGGATTGATGACCTCAAAGCCATATTATCCTCGGCGTTGGTAGCATAATATATCCAATTGACTGTGACATTAATCGGCTTACTAGACGCAAGAATAGAGTGATTACGTTCAGGAGGCATTATCGGGAACCAATCAAGAAAGCTTTTACAGATGGAGCTCCCACATTTTCCGGTTGTGAAGTGAATCAGCGGAGTTTAAGTAGCTGTCGACTTTATTTAAGAGATCGATTTTATCTTGAAAGTATTATCTACTTTGAAAAAAAAAGGGGGGGGGGGGGAGAGAGAGAGAGAGAGAGAGCCTCAATGAGCGTAATCATGGTTTAAGAGCATAATATACTTATAATATTGTAATAATAATGCGTCGGTATCTGTTGACAGGCGTTGCACACGCAACGCGCTGCGTGAGACCGGCTTCGATCCCAGCTGCCGAAGATTTGGCAGCAGACCACCTTGCTTTGGTTCCGACAGTGGTACTGAGTTTCACGCCCATCTTCAGGGCTATTTAAATCTAAAGATGGCCGTGCTGAGTTCCGACCGTTTAGGTGCAGGGGCAGTCCAATGAACGTAAAATTTGCCGGGTTGGTTCTGCACCGTTATGTAAAAGATACGCAACTAACCTTTATTGATTTGGCACCTGCAGTAATATGGAATGTATAGTTTATATAAACAAATACTTCTAAAGAGAATGTCTATACACATATATATCATTGTATTCATCAAGTGCCTTGCCAGCTGGCGTAGGCGCTTATGTATCTCTGCAGATCTTCTCGGTCTTGTGTGTTCTGGATCAATTCCACTGATGATGTTCCTCCATGCCACTGTCACTGTCTTAAGACAACCACCATCATTGCTCTTGGTTTGCCTCTCTCTCTGCCTCTTCTACCAGTGATATTTTCAGTTGTCACGATATTTTCTAGTGCTCTTGTTCTCATCACATGACCAAAGAACTTTATCTTTCTCTATATATAGGTGTATATACATAGATATGAGATTCCCCCCCCCCCCCCACCTTTTCCTCCTTCGACGTTTCATACATATATATCACCCTCCGAACAAAAATTAATCCCCCCCCCCTTTTCCCGTTTTTCAGGCTGTTCAAGAGGCAAGAGCTCCCAGTTCATGATTCGCGGTACACGAAGGGCGATGTGATCTACATAATGCCGCCCACCTTTACTTCCTAATACATTTTTAGATACCCATCCTGATCCATGGTCGCCCAGAGAGAGCATGAAAATTTTTTAATTTGTGAAACACATACACACATTTAATAGCATGTGTCTTCTACTGCTACTGTTGCTGCTGATATTACTACTAATATTAATACTACTACTACTGCTGCTGTTGCTGCTGCTGCTGCTGCTACTACTACTACTACTACTACTACTACTACTACTACTACTACTACTACTACTACTACTACTACTACTACTACTACTACTACTACTACTACTACTACTACTACTACTACTACTACTACTACTACTACAACTATTACTTTTTCTTCTCCTTCTTCTTCGTCATCTTTAAGCTTGGATAGTCATCTTCTTCCTATAATCAGTGAAAAAACCTATGGAAAGTTAATGTTCAGTTATCTTTAATGGGATGAGTGAAACTTTTTGGATGAATTTTTAATTGTATTCTTTTCTTTTTCATTTTTATAAATTCTGTCCATCGTGGATGACCCTGCCTGATACGGGGTTTGAAGATTTCTTATTCAAGACGTCTCTGTAATTTGGTCGGAACCGAGCAACCGTTAGAAACACTTCTATGGCAGTTAAAGCATTGCCCTTCCTGTCTGTTCGTTCCAAACTGCAACAAAGCCAAACAACGTGAGGTAGCTGGGATAATATTTTCTTAATTTTCCTCGGATTTTCTGTTGGTTGTGAGTTGGCTTTCGCGATGTGAGGCAGACCTACTTGAATGGCTTAGGCTCTCAGGTGTCTGCTGGGACAATGTAACCCCAACTTTACTTATCGACTGCACCTTAAGGAATGACGTATCTACATGACTTTCCAACAATGAACCAAAGGATCAGGATGTGGAGGGCTCGGGCATATCTCAAAATATGTGCTGATAAGAAACACCCACTGCATCAAGCGCTTTTTAGTGAAAAGGGTGACAGACTGAAGAGGGGGAAATCGTGGCTAGGTCGGGCAGTTGATGTTATTAGGCAAATATGCAGCCTAACCGACATCATACCTGGTGCAGAATGGATACCTGTGCCTCAGGCGTTTATTTGTACATTTTCCTGTATTGTCACACTCAACAGGCGATTTAGAGAAGAGAATCCTGTTGCTGTTAATGCAGAGGTCAACGCTCTCATCGGTGAAAATTCAGACGAAGCAGATGTAATAATCTATACAGACGGATCCGTGATACGCCAAAGAAGAAGCGCATGGGCATTTACAGCATGCTCAGCGGGCAGAACAGTCAAAGAAGCCAACGGCGCCTTCTCCACGACAGCCAGCAGCATGACGATGGAGGTGATGGCAGTGACGCAAGCGCTTGCCTGGCTTGAAACCCAAAAATACACCGGCGTGTATATACTCAGTGATTCAATGAGTATGATCCGGAGGGTTCAGGCAGGTTCTGTGCGAAGACAATGGCTTGAATCATTACAGAAGTCCACTGTGCGTGGAGTCACCTTTATTTTTGTTCCGGGACACGCAGGCGTCGATGGAAATGAAAGAGCTGACAGGTTGGCTGGATCCGCTATCACTACCGACAGTCAGCCTATGGATCATGCTGATATTATCAATGCCCTCAGAGAAATGGGAAGGATAGAGGACTTTGGTGGCAGTGAATCCACATCACTCGCCAGAATGGCAGACTTGGGAATTAAGATCGGCACAGCAAAAAACGAGACGCACACCAGACACGCCAGAAGACTTGTTAATCAACATAGAACTAGTACTATTAGCCATCGGACGTTGGGGTTCATACTGAGGGGAGGATTTGAGCACCTATGGACATGTCCGGAGTGCAAATGAGGATAACCCAACTAACTAACTAACTAACTAACTAACTAACTAACTAACTAACTAACTAACTAACTAACT